GTGTTTCGGTAGCAACAATTCTTAACGCTCCACTGATTTTCAGAGTTTGGGATACATTAACATAAAAACAATAATGATAATGCTAGATAATATTAACCAGCTACTCTTTCCTGGTTAGCAGTGCCATTTAACATTTAGCGGTTGTTATTAGATTGAAGCTTTGACATTTTTTGAGTGGTGGATTCAAAATCATGCAAACAAAGGTTTCGATAGTGACATGAAACATGAAAACATGAAACAAGGTTTCAGTAGTGGCATGAAACATAAAAGAAAGGTGACTTGAAACTTGAAAAAAATGAAAGAAAAGAGGTTTCGGTAGTGACACGAAACGTGAAAGGAAACATGAAAGAAAGGTTTTGGTAGTGACATAAAACATGAAGGCATGAAAGAAAAGAGGTTTCAGTAGTGACATAAAATATGAAAGAAAAGAGGTTTTGGTAGTGACATGAAACATGAAGGCATGAAAGAAAAGAGGTTTTGGTAGTGACGTGAAACATGAAAGAAGAGGTTTCGGTAGTGACCTGAAACATGAAGGCATGAAAGAAAAGAGGTTTTGGTAGTGACATAAAACAAAAAAAATACAGGTTTCGGAAGTGACCTGAAACATGAAAACATGAAAGAAAAGAGGTTTTGGTAGTGACATAAAACATGAAAACATGAAACAAGGTTTCAGTAGTGGCATGAAACATAAAAGAAAGGTGACTTGAAACTTGAAAAAATGAAAGAAAAGAGGTTTCGGTAGTGACATAACATGAAAACATGAAAGAAAAGAAGTTTCGGTAGTGACACGAAATGTGAAAGGAAACATGAAAGAAAGGTTTTGGTAGTGACATAAAACATGAAGGCATGAAAGAAAAGAGGTTTCGGTAGTGACATAAAATATGAAAGAAAAGAGGTTTTGCTAGGGTCAAAACAAAAAAATTGAGGTTTTGGTAGTGACATGAAACAGGAAGGCATGAAAGAAAAGAGGTTTCGGTAGTGACGTGAAACATGAAAACATGAAAGAAAAGAGGTTTCGGTAGTGACATAAAACATGAAGGCATGAAAGAAAAGAGGTTTTGGTAGTGACATGAAACATGAAAGAAAAGAGGTTTCGAAAGTGACCTGAAACATGAAGGCATGAAAGAAAAGAGGTTTTGGTAGTGACATAAAACAAAAAAAATAGAGGTTTCGGAAGTGACCTGAAACATGAAAACATAAAAGAAAAGAGGTTTTGGTAGTGACATAAAACAAAAAAAAATAGGTTTCGGTAGTGACCTGAAACATGAAAACATGAAAGAAAAAAGGTTTTGGTAGTGACATAACATGAAAACATGAAAGAAAAGAAGTTTCGGTAGTGACACGAAACGTGAAAGGAAACATGAAAGAAAGGTTTTGGTAGTGACATAAAACATGAAGGCATGAAAGAAAAGAGGTTTCGGTAGTGACATAAAATATGAAGGCATGAAAGAAAAGAGGTTTTGGTAGTGACATAAAACATAGAGGTTTCGGAAGTGACCTGAAACATGAAAACATGAAAGAAAAAAGGTTTCGGTAGTGACATAAAGAAAATAGAGGTTTCGGTAGTGACATAAAACATGAAGGCATGAAAGAAAAGAGGTTTTGGTAGTGACATGAAACATGAAAGAAGAGAGGTTTCGGAAGTGACCTGAAACATGAAGGCATGAAAGAAAAGAGGTTTTGGTAGTGACATAAAACAAAAAAAAAAATAGAGGTTTCGGAAGTGACCTGAAACATGAAAACATGAAAGAAAAAAGGTTTCGGTAGTGACATAAAGAAAATAGAGGTTTCGGTAGTGACATAAAACATGAAGGCATGAAAGAAAAGAGGTTTTGGTAGTGACATAAAACATGAAGGCATGAAAGAAAAGAGGTTTTGGTAGTGACATAAAACATGAACAAAAAAATAGAGGTTTCGGAAGTGACCTGAAACATGAAAACATGAAAGAAAAAAGGTTTCGGTAGTGACATAAAGAAAATAGAGGTTTCGGAAGTGACCTGAAACATGAAAACATAAAGAAAAGAGGTTTTGGTAGTGACATAAAACAAAAAAAAATAGGTTTCGGTAGTGACCTGAAACATGAAAACATGAAAGAAAAAAGGTTTTGGTAGTGACATAACATGAAAACATGAAAGAAAAGAAGTTTCGGTAGTGACACGAAACGTGAAAGGAAACATGAAAGAAAGGTTTTGGTAGTGGCATAAAACATGAAGGCATGAAAGAAAAAAGGTTTCGGTAGTGACATAAAATATGAAGGCATGAAAGAAAAGAGGTTTTGGTAGTGACATAAAACAAAAAAAAAAATAGAGGTTTCGGAAGTGACCTGAAACATGAAAACATGAAAGAAAAAAGGTTTCGGTAGTGACATAAAGAAAATAGAGGTTTCGGTAGTGACATAAAACATGAAGGCATGAAAGAAAAGAGGTTTTGGTAGTGACATGAAACATGAAGGCATGAAAGAAAAGAGGTTTTGGTAGTGACATAAAACAAAAAAAAAAATAGAGGTTTCGGAAGTGACCTGAAACATGAAAACATGAAAGAAAAAAGGTTTCGGTAGTGACATAAAGAAAATAGAGGTTTCGGTAGTGACATAAAACATGAAGGCATGAAAGAAAAGAGGTTTTGGTAGTGACATAAAACATGAAGGCATGAAAGAAAAGAGGTTTTGGTAGTGACATGAAACATAAAAGAATAGAGGCCTCTGTTTCAGAAACCACTTCTTCTGTTCCACTGTCAACATATTATAAATCATCATAAGTCATGAGAATGTGTGTGTGTGTGGTGTGCGTGTGTGTGTGTGTGTGTGTGAAATCGTACAGGTTGTTGTAATAAACCTGATCTGCAGTCTATATCATGCCCCCAGCGATAGGTCAGGAGTATGCTATCCTTGTGACTAATCCTCACAATGATACAACAGCATGACATTTTTGCTCAAGTGAAGTGATATTTTGCTGGTCCTTACTTGAGCTTGAGTTTTATCAAAGGTTACAGATAGAACTAAATGATACTGACTTCTGTGTTTTCCATTGTACTTCACATTAATCATGTACGTATGCAGTAAGACACTCACACACAATGTATTTCAAATAAGCAAGATATCAAATCATAACTGCATTTTCACAGAATATCAATACCTACAGCACTTGCTTTATCATATTAAAGGTTCATTTGCTAATAATTAAAATTAAACACTGCAATACAAATTCATTTCAAAAGAAATCCAAACAGTAAAGTACATTAGACAGTGTTTCGGCTTTTTTCACACATTTTCAAATGGTATAAATATATTTACATACATTTATTTGTGTATGGTACACTTCTATATGTAATATTTCTCCATACATTTTAAAATAAATGCATTTTAAAATGTATTTAGTTAATATGGCAATATATTGTGAAATGTATTTCAGTGTTTGGAATGTATTTCGGAATGGACTGCAATGTATTTGAAATATAGTTCAAATATATAAAAATAGATGTTTATTTTTTTTCTATATGGGGAAAAAAGTAAAAGAGCAGAACAAACGTCTTTTGGATGCTGAGGTTAGGTTTAGGTTTCGGTTTAGGTTTAGGTTTAGGTTTAGGTATAGTATTACTTACAGTAATACAACAATCGATATATACCTATAGAAGTCCTCACTAGTAATGTAAAACAAACGTCTGTGTGTAAAACTTTTCAAACTGCAATAAACTTTATCTGCAGTGTGTTTCCTCAATCTGCTGCGTTCTCGATCACCATTCTCAAAAATGATGTATAGAGAACCATATATAACACAGAACCTTTATGAAATGGTTCTTCAGATTGATGGAGAATGTGTTGTATATGGTTCTACATAGAACCTTTTAAAAATGGATCTATATAGCACCCTTTTTGGTACTATATAGAATCATTTTCATAAAGGTTCTATATAGAACCATATACAACACAATCTTTTTGAAAATGCTTCCATTTAGAACCATAAGATCTATACAGAACCACTTTGTGCTTTAATGGTTCTGTGCATGGTGAAATAGTTCTTCAGATTGGTGGAGAATGTGTTCTGTTTAGAACCGTGAATCTATACAGAACCACTTCATGCCTAAATGGTTCTTTGCATAGCACCACAGAACCATAGCAGAACCCTTTTTGGTGCTATGTAGAATCATTTTCAAAAAGGTTGTACATAGAACCATATACAACAAAATCTTTTTGAAAATGTTTCTATTTAGAACCATAAGATCTATACAGAACCATTTATGCTTAAATGGTTCTTTGCCTAGCACCACAAAACCACAGCAGAACCCTTTTTGGTGCTATATGGAATCATTTCCATAAAGATTATACATAGAACCATATACAACACAACCTCAAAAAGCCTCTATTTAGAACCATACGATCTATATAGAACCACTTCGTGCTTTGCATAGCAGCACAGAACCATAGCAGAACATTTTTGGTGCTGTACAGAACCATTTTTAAAAAAGTTCAATATAAATCCATATACAACACAGCCTTTTTTCTATTTAGAACCATGAGATCTATATAGAACCACTTCATGCGTAAATGCTTGTTTGCGTGATGAAATGGTTCTTCAGATTGATGGAGAATGTGTTGTATATGGATCTAGATAGAACCTTTTTGGTTTTGGTTTGATATATAGCACCAAGAAGGGTTCTTCTATTGTTACAAGCCTGACGATGTGGCAATAGCAGAATCCTTTTTGGCACTATTTAGAACATTTTTTAAAAAAGGTTCTGTGTTGTATATGGTTCTATATAGAACCATTTCGAAAATTCTATATAGCACCAAAAAGGGTTCTTCTGTTGTTACAATCTGGTTATCATGGCAATAGCAGAACTCTTTTTGGCACTCTATAGAACCATTACCTTTACTAAAGAACCCTTGTAGAACACTTTTTTTATGAATGTACAGTAGCACAACCTTTGACCAGCAGCACAACCTTTGTACTCGCTCCATTCAGCAGAGCTGCCTCACTTAATTTGCTGGATACTATTTCATGAGAACATTTGCTCCTCAAGGTGTGGCTGACAAGAACTATCTGAATTCTTCCTGGTCGCCAAAGGCAAACAGTGTTTTTCCTGATCCGCTGTGGGAGTTTTCTGATTTGCACGGATGCAGTGAATTCATGTGAATGTTGATCTCATTGTTCCTCCTTTGGGTTGAAGTTTAGGACTCTGGAGCTTGTTTTGTTTCTATAAATGCAAAACTTTGGAATAATTTTTAAGATGCTGCGACCTTTTTAACCCTTCTTTAATTTCTACATTAAGAAATTAAAGAAATGATTTCAGGATGCTGCCGAAACTCTTCATTTGTGGAGTGTTCCTTGGTTTTGTCTCTGTTCAGTTGTTCCTGATGTCCTCTGACAGAAGAGTGGAGTTCTATAGGTTTAGCCAGAACTTTCATGCTAAATTCTCGATATCTGCATGGAGAACAGGTATGTGTATCACAAAGTCAATTATTTTGATTCATTGAGAGCTACTGTACTTTACTGTGGTTGAGAGGTTGTTTTAACCAAGCAGTATCTATAAATCTGAATTTCATAGCGAGTTATTGGGTACTGTACGGTAAATTCATTTAGTAAAACACCACCAGGAGAAAAATTCCACTGATTTTTCACAATTTCTGCAGATTTTCTTTACATGATCAGGCTATGATTAATCCTTGCACCTGAAAGCATGAGGTTTAGGATGAACAGCCAGTCATGTAAAACATGAGGAGGACTTGAATGGCTAATTTTTCAAAAAAGGAAAGAGAACTATGTGCATGTGCAGAAGTTAAACATTTATAAGAGTATAAAGCAATAGTCACTGCTGATGCTGTGTTAGAGCTTATTGGTGTCATAACTGCTTTACAATCTTGATATCTTTATAGTCAGAATTGGGCAACATACTTTGTACAAGTAGTGATTGCTGAATACTGAATACACAGTCTGAAATGTATTCTGTAATGTATTCTGTTACAATATATTAAAAGTATTCAGAATACATTTATAATACATCTTTGTAAGGTACATGAGAAGAACTTACTGAGCTCTGCTAAAGCCTGAGTAGACTGATAAATCGATGTGATCAGTTATTAATCTCAGTGTTACTGAGCTCTGCTAAAGCCTGAGTAGACTGATAAATCAATGTGATGATCAGTTATTAATCTCAGTGTTACTGAGCTCTGCTAAAGCCTGAGTAGACCGATAAATCAATGTGATGATCAGTTATTAATCTCAGTGTTACTGAGCTCTGCTAAAGTCTGAGTAGACTGATAAATCAATGTGATCAGTTATTAATCTCAGTTACTGAAATACATGAAGAAAACTGCCAGCCAGTAATAGCGAAGAGGGTGTGAATTAAATAATAATTACAACAGTGGAGTTTTTCCCATGTGCCTTGGCACTGTGTATTCAAAATGTATTCTGAATACTTTTTATTTGTTGTACCAGAATATATTACCGAACACATTTATGGCAGTATATTCAGTATCCATACTGTACATCACTACTTTTTCAAAGTATTCTGCCCAAGTCTAGCAGAATATGTAGCTCATGTTGGTTCTCTCTCAGACCTGTTTCACATTTCCAGTTTGTTGCCTCAGTCATCTTCTGAAGTAGGTGACTGCATTTCCAGTCTAAGCATAAGTAATACTACAGTTAGCGAGGCTGTTCGGGCCAGTTAGCAAATCCGCTAGCATGTGTGATTAAATAAGTTTTTCAAAGATAAAAAGTAATGGCTTTCATTGATTTCTCAGAACATACGCTACTTCATCAAGGAGAAAAGATCTTGAGTGAAAGAAAACAAGTCCATGTAGCGTTTACCATGTAGTGTTTACCATGTAGCGTTTACCATGTAGTGTTTACCATGTAGCGTCACTGCTGTTCGCTTTAGCGCATCTGAAAGCATTATTCTTCCCTCACTAATACCTCCTGCTCATCAGACACAAAATGCACTGATTCAACCCGTAGAAAATCTCTTGCCTTTTTATGACTAAGGCAGAAAATATCTGAGTAATAAAATAGTTTTCAAATGCACTCCATGTGCTAACTTGCTAACTAGGCATGCAGCTTTAAGGCAGTTTGGTACTGCTGCCTTCAGTGTCACTCACAAAACAAAATCATTGATTTTCAACCAAGCACATGTCACACTGAATATGAATCCAGGTGATCTGGAGCAGAGGATCGTGATTTTAGGAACTGATTGACACACATATGGAGGTTTTTTGTTTGAGGCACTGAAGGCAATATTTTGGTCAAACCAGAAGCCCAGGTTGCATCCAAAACCGCTACTACCCTATTCAATAGTATGTCATGAGCAGTACACCACCAAAAGAGTTTGTTAGTATGGTAGTAGTAACATAGTGAAGGAATATGTCGTTTGGGACGCAGCCGTAGTTCCCTGCTCTCAGAAAACAACAGAAGTGTCAAGCTGGCAATGTGAAAAGGTTACTGTGTTAGAAGGTTCTGGAGATCTACCACCTTGGAGATTTCCAATCCAACACACCTGGCTCTAATATTAAGATGCCCCTGAAGGCCTTCATAACCTGGATCAGGTGTACTAGATAAGGGTTGAAGCTAAACTCTGCAGGGTGGTAGATCTCTGGGACCAGAATGGAGCACACCTGAGTTGGGGTTACTTCCTGCAAATGTCTTCATAGGCCAACTTTGGCCAGCTGGGTACACTTTGGCCAGCTGATAAACTTTCTCTCAATAGCAAGTTAGCTGCTGTTTATACAGCTTTATTTTTGGAGTCCACAACAACAAATTGACCTCTACTGACCTTTCTAGATGATGTAGCGAAGCAGTTGAGCTCAAAGGTGCGCGTGTTGTGTTGGGTTATGACCAGACCCCTGAACCTGCAGATCAAAACTCAGCACATTAAGGCAACCTGGGCTAAACACTGCAACATTGTGCTCTACATGAGCTCTGAGGCCACGGACTTCCCCACCGTGGGCCTCAACGTGTCTGAGGGCAGAGACCAGCTCTACTGGAAGACCATCCGGGCCCTCCAGTACATCCACACTCATCACCTGCACAGTGCCGACTGGTTCCTCAAGGCTGACGACGATACGTTTGTGGTGGTGGAGAACCTGCGGCGCCTCCTCTGCAGGCACAACACAGAGGAACCTGTCTACTTTGGTCACAGGTTAGGACATTGGAGGCTTGAAGGGCCCATATCTTGGAAAACTGAATTTTCCTAGGTATTTTCAAATTGTTTCCAAATGTTCCCACAGGTTCAGGGTTTTCATCAAGCAGGGCTACATGAGTGGAGGAGCAGGATACGTCCTGAGCAGAGAAGCACTCGGAGGTTTGTCCAGGGCTTCAGCTCGGGCAAATGCACACACTCCAGCCCGGTGGAGGACAAGGCCTTGGGCCAGTGCATGGAGACTATGGAGGTCAAAGCAGGGGATTCAAGAGATGAGAGGGCAAGAGAAACATTTAATCCCTTCCATCCGGCTAGCCACCTCCAACTTCCAGCCAACGGGAAGCAGTTCTGGGGCTACAGTTACTATCCTACAAAACGAGTAAGTGTCCTGGCTACTAAAAATGAAAGGTTATCCAAGACTCTAGTGTACACTCAGCATATACTCTATTAGAAACTACCTTCCCTATCTACCTAATGGGTCTACTATATAGGTGTACAGACTATGTACAGACTATACAGTGTACAGAATATACAGACTGTAGCTCATCTGTTAATGCTCAGTTTGTGACCTGGCCTTCCACTTCATTCATCATTGGTCAGTTTCTGAACACAGGAATGCTGTTTAATAGATATTATTTGGATGGCAGACCATATTAGGGCAACAACTAGAGATTATTTCTACAATTCTAGTATTTCTTATAGAATAATCTACCAACTATTTTTTGATGTATTGACTACTTGAACAACTGACTCCTTATATACAATGAAAGCTTTATATTACTGATATGGGACTTAAATGTTAAACTAACATCCAGTGTTACACCAAAGTCGTTATCTATAGCTTATGGTCACACTCAAAAACCATAAAGGTCAGGGTTTTACCAGAGTTTAGCATTACAGTGTCATTGAATTCAGCTGAGCTGACATGTATAACTGAGTATCATCAGCATAAAAGTGAAAGGCAACATTGTGTTTATGGATAACGTATTCTAAGGACCATAAATAAAGGGAGCACATTAAGGATCCTAAAACAGAGCCTTGTGGGACACCATATTGCACTTTTCAATGGAGGGAAAAAAACTCACATGTACACTGACAAATTGGTAGTTATCTGTAAAGTAAGAACTAAACCGGGCAAAAACTTGTCTAAACCAATGGTGTTTTCAAGTCTGTTCAATAAAATAACATGTTCCACAGTATAAAATCTGCAGTCCGAGGCAACCAGTAAATTATTGACCACCTAAGCCAGCACAGATTCTGTACTATTTTACAGAAACCAAAAATATGGTAAAAAAAAACCAAGCCTGGTTCTGTCTTAGGAGCAATATCCAAACATCTGATACTTACAAACAAAAGTATGCAAAAATATATAAATATTTCACAGACACTGCATTGCTCAGTAAAGACTCCCAAGGCTGAATGAACTTTGGTCTAAAAGGTTCAACTGAACATCACCAACATAACAAAGGAACTAGTGGTGGATCTAGATCTACATCCACCATTAAGAGAGTCCTACTTCGCCATTGCTTGAGAACCCGTTGCACAAGGAAGAAGCCCGTACTCTAAGACTGGTATAAACCAGCCAGACGTCTGCATGTGATCACCAGGACAAAGACCTAGCCTTTTGGAGGAGTGTTCTCTGGTCAGATGAAACAAACAGTAAACCTGTTTGGCCATAATGATCAGTGCCATGTATGGACTCACTTTCTGCCCAGACTCACTTGGTTTACAAGTGAGTCTTCCAGCAGTACAATGATCCTGAGCATTCCTCCAAAATGGCTTGAAGACAACAAAGTGAAAGTACAGGAGTGGCCATCACAAAACCTGAAACCTACAGAGACTGTGTGTCGCAGCAAGGAGGCCCATAAACCTGAGTGAATTACACAAATTCTATTAGGAGGAGTAGCAAAAAAATTGTGAGGAGCTTGTGGAAGGCTACCACAATACCACAAGGAGAGCAATTAAAAAGGCAGTACCACTAAATACTAACAAATTGTATGCAAACATTTGAGCAGCTGGAAATCTGGGTAAATTGAACCTGAAATAAATCTGTGTCTTATTAGTTATTTAGGATATAAAGTACACCACCTAATTGACCTAATACAGGAAATGTAGGGTAATGTGTGGAGCTGTGAAAAATGGAGTTTGAATGTATTTCACCCAGGTGTATGTAAACATTTGGCCTTACCTGTCGTTTGTTAGAGACTCTTTTCATACTATTCTGAAAGCCTCTAACTTTACAGCAGAAAGGTTGATCTACAAGCTAGGAGTTTCTAATAAAGTGGCCACTACTGCAATCTAAAGCATTACAGTAATGCACTGGTCACCATTCCTCCTCCTGGAGATGTACCTTCCTACAGACTTTAGCTCCAACCCTAATCCACCTTACCTGATCCATCTAATTATCGCCTTCAGAAATCCTTGATTAGCTGAAGAAGGTGCTTAAGATTTGGGTTGGAGGTGAACCCTGCAAGGAGGCAGACGTCTAGCCGGTAAAGGAACTTGTTACTGTAATGTGCTGTGAACATTTGCGCCCTTTTCCTCTTCAGCCTTCGATCACACGCAGATAATAACACATCTGGCACACACTTCAGATTGCACACATGCTCTTTTACAGTAAATGTCATAAGCCAAATTAGTTAACATAGTGTTAATGATTAATCTCTCTTTGTGTTCACAGGGCCCAGACTGCTGTTCAGATTACGCCATAACGTTTCATTATGTCAAACCAGAACAGATGTATGAGCTGGAGTACTACACCTATCGCTTACGGCCTTTCGGATACAAATACAGGTTCAACCCTGCAATCACATCGAACTGCACTAAGGATCTCTCAAGCAGCTGATGCCCTCATCTTAAGGAATACCTCCGAATGTTGGGATATTCATTCAAGGAGAGCGTTTTAGTTGAAATAGAAACTTTTTTTATTGAACACAGACAACTGAGTGACAGTTTCAAGTAGTTAAGAGTTATGATGAAGATACTCGTCTATTTGAGAAACTACAAGTAGCTTTTTTGGTCTTTGAAAAATAGCTTATTTAAAGAAAATGAAATATGAGACGTAACTTATTTATAGCAAATCAGACTAGATGAAGTACAGCACCATGGAAAGTATGAATATTAATGACATCACTTGCAGTCCACACTCTTGAAGAAATGCTCAGAACTGAGCTGAAGAAGCTGAGACTTTTTTTTGTATAGAAGAAGTGATTTTGAAGTGGACAAGGCCACAGTGCAGGACCTTTAAGTGGGATTTGGGGGAGATTGCTGATTGTCAGTGCAGCCACTTGTACTCACTCTGAGTGAGGCCTTTGCTACTTAAGGATTTGACCTCCCTCGTCTTGTTGACGCCACTTGCTTATTCTGAGAGGTGAAGGCAACTTCAGTGGTTTAATGCAGTTTGCTTAATAACTGAAAGTGTCTGTAAGTCTTCTCTGCATGTATTTGCCATGTACCAGCAATAAGACAATAGTATAAAGTAATGCAAATGTAGGGCTGGTCCGAGTAATTAGAACACTTGAGGACATATTCGTTACACTGGTATTAATTTCTCTTTTTAGTAAGGCTGACACAGTAATTTAAGTCAGACATTGGGTCATATTTTTAAGTTTTTCAAACCACATCATGCATCTTTATGCAGTAACGTCACGCACACAGGCTTGATGTTTGGGTTTCAAATGCAAATCGCCATTATCGCTGTTGTCGGAAGAAAACCTCGTATCTCCAAAATGGTAACTTCACAGGAAAAGGAAAAAACATACTCTACTTTTAATGTAAGTCAATGGAACCAGGCGTTTTTCCAAGTAAATTTGGGCTGTTTCTTTTGGTCCATTCATCATGAAATTAACACACAATGTAAAGGCCAGCAAGCATTTTCAAATTACGACAAAAACAAAAAAACGACAAAAATGGAGATACAAGGTTTTCTTCCGACAGCAGTGTTATACTGATATAGATGTGATCACTAGCTGATCATTCACTCACATCATCAGGGTCATTTGCTTGGGAAAAGGGGTCTGAAGCACAACCAACATTACAAAATGTTCTTATGCGTGTTGCGTGCAATTACACCTTTCCACAAATCCCCAAATCTTACATAGTGCAGCTTTAATATATTGAAAATATTACAAAGTGAATTATAGCTGGTTTAGTTGAATATATCATAAATTCATCCCACCACACCTCAGATGGCACCGCTTTTCACACAGCAATTGAATATAAAAGAGTAGATATGTCACACGTGGGAGCACTTTAAAAGATCAGACAGTAAAATGTATGATGTATTGCACTGCAACACCGGCGCTACTGTTGTTGCTCCCAGGCAGAGCTGTCTGGCACCAGGATGAACTAACTAAAACTAAAACGGTGATGGTGTTTATTAAAATGATAAATATAATTCATTCCACCCTTAGCATCTAAATACAACTCATCAACCTTAGAAATACAAGTGATACAAATAACTCATAACTTTATTTGAACGAGAGGGCTACAATCAGGGATTCTATAGCAACATGAAGAGCGAGCAGCTAGCCAGCTGATTATTTTATTATAGTTTATTATTTTACGACTTAACGAGCGTTTTCCAGTCTGGTTCTACGAGGAATTCTGAAGTTTGGATGTTGACGGCTTGTTTGGCTCAGTCTTGGACAGAACTTTGTTACATTCAGGCCAGTTTTGGACAGGTTGGGTGTTTGGTCGGGTCAGACTGGGACAGAAAATTCTTCGGCTGCTTTTGTGTTCAGACCGGGGTCAGTTAAGGCTTTACCACTTGAGGGTGAAGTTTAAAAATGAGCTACAACTAAAACTGTGATGTGATTAAAAACGATGATTCTAATTCATCCTTAGCAACTAGATACGTGACTCATAAATGCCATACAAGAAGTGACTCCTTACAGCTGTATTTGAATGAGAGGGCTAAAACAAACTTACTTAAAATGACGGTTAATTCTAAAATATTTTTCTTTTTAAAGGTAATTTTGAGGACGAGTATTCAGGTACTCGTTCAGAAACATCATCAAGTATTCAGAGCTTGTTCGGGCCAGCCCTACATAAATGATATGACCTTACTTTGTGCACTTAACTCCCTAAAGTGCAACATTTGTCACTCTTAAAACTACATAACTTACATAATACTTTCACAGTACCTACTGAATAGGTCAAATTAGTAATTAGGAATTTGTCTTAAGATTAATAACTGAATACTAAGTCTTCAGCTTCAGGTGTAAAGGAAAGTTCCACTGAAAAAAAAAAAACGAACTAAAAATGAATCTTGTGAATCATGTGTTTGTGGTTTGGAAAGGGGAAGTAAGTAGCACCAAACAGCAGCAGTGGAAACATCTCTGCTGCTAAAGATGAGATCTCTATGTGGCATTATTAAATGTGAGGATTTAAATAGAAAGCCCCTTTAAAGTTTGCCTCTGTCTGATCTATTTTTATGAAGCATTAAAAAGGGAATTTCCATCAGTTTTCAGTATAGGTTTCAGCATAATTAAACCATCAGGGTGTAAACGGAACCATTCAGAGTGATGTACTGTTTAGAAACTTGCCACTTCAGATTTCTTGACAGTGGTGGTGATAGGAACCAGGGGTCATTATGTTTACAACACAAATATAGCCATTTTATTTACTATCTAAAACAATCTGTAAATCTACTCGTGTCTTTTGAGTTGTTATATGTAATGTTGATGATGGTAAAACTGTGGTAAATCTGAAAAGCTAAGTTTTTTTCCCACCTTAAAACACCATCCATGTATCTCTCAGCCATGAGTGAATTTCAAAAAATTCATTTTGCGCCAAAACTTTCTTAAAACTATCATAAAAACAATGTTTCATCATGCAGAGTATTCAGAACCATTTCATTTAACAACTTGCTGTCAGGCAGTTTTTAGAGGCATTAAACTCTGCAGACATCTGGTTACTATCACCACCACTGACTCTGAATGGAATCTAGAACAGAGCATCAAACTTTAGCAATAATACTTTAATTATGCAGAAAATTTGAAAATTTGGTAGAATTCCCCTTTACCAGGATGTTTATGTTACATGGTGACAAGGCAGCATGTAAGTCTTAAAATGGCTTTTTTACTGTGCTCAAGTCCAACATTACTGCAATAATATTACTGAAAGTGTAATTATGCATGTAATAGAGACTTAATAAAATTTTGTGTGTAAACAAGTAATCATATGTAAAAGTCAAAGATATCTGTTTCTACTAAGCTCTTTATATATTATTCGTAGAATGTTTCAGTATGTAGACGCACAGAGAAACAAACTTGAACTTTTAAATAATTTCTGGATTATAAACTTATAAACCATATAATACAGTTGCCTTTTCATTCATTAATGCTTACTGATAGGGTTTAACCTATAACACAGGCTTTCCGGCAGCTTTCCTGTGTTTCAAACTGGTTCCTGTTGCCACGGCAGCCTCCGAACCAAAACTGGGCACAGGAATTGGCCTTGGGATCGTAGTACCATTTCACCACGTAATCCCGACACGGGCCAGGGTCCAGCGGCTGCAGACAACCCGCCTCTGCAAAGACCAGAGACATTACCTGTTGCTAAAGAGTCTTAATACTAGTATTAGTTACTACAGGAAAGTTAAAATAATACTTCTGTGAAAAATCTAACTTACACTATTTTTCTCCTCTTACTCCAAATGTAGTCAACCAAATCATGTTTAATGTCGAAAAATTTGCTTCTGTGTTTTTTCACTGGAGCTATGAGGCTAAGCAATGGAAATCAATTACCATCATGCTAGGGGTGGGATCACACCCCCTCACAAAATTGCAGAAAAATACTGTATTTAAGTTCCCTGTAGCATAGAGGTCTGTGTGGGACTGATATTTCCCACTCCCACTCAAGATTTTACTTCTGCTCCCATAGAACATCTGCACTGTTTGTCCCGCTCCCGCCTGCAGTCCCGTAAAGCTGGTTTCCATTTGCGGTAATCATGACTAAAAAGGACTGCTACGTGTCAGACTTGCCTGTAGTTGGGTTTATTGGCGTCTGATTGTCTGTAGGCACCGTTTCTGCTGCAAGAATTCAATTTGTGTGTTGTTTACTTGGAGTTTATTCATTTCAATTATGTTGCTGCTAGATATTACTTATATATTTTCATTATTAAGTGATTGTAATCATTTATTTTGGCTTTTTATTCATAAGCAGGATTTCTCCACATGTCTACACTGGGTCTCTTAACTTATTTTCACATTAGAACTTTAAAACATATCATTTGACTGGGGGTGTTCAAATCTTTGCATATGACTGGTGGTTTCTGGCACTGTATGATATTGTTATCTATAAAATGAGCAAACATACAAAATTCAAGCTTCAGGATGGCTGGTAATACTTTTAGCTATTCTATTAAGGTACTTTTGTCCATTTTTATATTTGGTGTAAGGGGACAATTGTGTAAATTAGATTAATTAACTTAACGCTTGCACAGTCAGGTGAAGTATTTATGAAGGGATTTGAGCCAATTAAACTAATCTGTGGACAGTTTAACGATTACCTTGAGTGAAATCATCCTGAACCAGTGGCAGAAGCGGCTGAGGGGTGCTCTGCTGAATCAGACTCAGCTTGGGTCTTTCTGTATCAGGGCCATACGTGAAGCGCCACAGATCATCCAGGCTGCTCAGGGGCTCCCCACTGAAGTATGGAGATCTGGTGCCTTCTCCTTCTTCCAGTTTGGGCTGAGAGTAAGGGAATAGGTCCAACTCTTCTGCTGCTCCTAACTGATTCACATCAAGATAACATTTCTTAATTAATGACATTTTTTTTTAATCAAAATATCCCTTCTAATTACATAATTTATGTGGTCAACTCAATCTTCTAGGGTCAGTTTTCTTGCTTTCCAGTAGTACAGAAGCACTGGACATATTTAAAAGAATAATTCAGTCAGAAAAATCTAATACTAAATGAAACTGAACAGTCACCAACTAGCACTGTGGAAAATACATCATAGGAATTGGTGGCTATTAGCTTTCAGTTACTGTCAGCCACAACAGAAGTAAATAAGCTTTAAATAAGCTTTGGACAAATGGGAGTGTACTGCCCCCTTTGGACATTGTCAGTACTGTCTGTTGTGGACTGGCTGATAAACTGATAAGGGATCAGGACAAACCTGGCCTCCTCATTTTGATATCAAACAAGAACTTGCCCCATTCTAACAGGTTCTATGTGTACACAAGTTACGCTAGTGTCAGTTAGCATTCTGGTGAACTATATCTATGACAAATGTTAGCAAAGTGTAAACAAACATTAGTGTTAGCAAAACTCTGTCTGCTGGCAATATTGTTTTACCAAGTCAGGCCTTTATGCCTTCACAATCATCCTATCAATCCTATAAAACAAAAATCATATAAAATACAGTTGAAAATGACTGAAAAAATGGGAATCTAATCTCAGCGTATGGACAATACAGCACTGCACAAATGCCAGAGGCCATGTTTCATTTATTTCATTTTTCCACATCTTCAAAGCTCCGTCTTAGAAGTTTTTATAATCCAAACCCATTCGATGATGTTGAGGTCTGGACACTGGGGTGGTCAGTCCATTGTTCTGAGAATGTCAGCAGCTTCTTTGTTTGATTTGCCAATGTTCTTCTTTTTTGTCTGTTTCCTTTTCTCAGTGAGGTTTCTTGACAGCTACATATCCTTTCAGACCCACAGCGTTGAGTTGTCTTCTCACAGTGGAAAGATGGACAGAAACACCTGTGTTGCTTATCTGATGGGGATAGATTTGGTGTCTACCACCTCTTGTCTCATTTTCTCTGTACCTCTAAAAGATTTTTGGAAAGTTTTGGAAACTCCTGTTTTTTCATTTATCTTCCTTTGACTTTTTCCTTCCTTACGTACGTGACGTATCCTACATCTAATCTCCTCAGACATATCTCCTGAAAAAAATAATAACCTGAAATCAAATAAATAAAGTGTGGCCTCTGACTTTTGCACAGTACTGTAATTTTGATGTTTCCTTGTATTCAGTAAAGGAACAGTCTCAAAATGCACTGAAGCAACTGCTCATTGTCTTCTATATATGAATATGTTTTGAATAAACAGGTTTTCTGTTCTTTAAGGCTGAAAAGTGCTGACGTGTTCCTTTCAACAGTTTCTACACTTCACTGAGAGTAACTCACCTCTGTGCGTGTTCTACCGTAGTCCCCGTTAAAGGGGCCTGTCCTTCTCCAAGGTTCCCGATCATAGGAGGTTCCAGGGATTACATTGTATGCCTCAGTAAACAATGTCTTATCAGTGTTCTCACACAGTTTAACCAGCAGCTTTTTCTCCAGTGCTGAACACAAACACAGTACACATTAGTTTCACACTTGTGAATGTTCAGTGGGATCCCACTGGTCAAAGAACTTGGCTGTGGCAAGCTGATAGTTTGGTTTGCAAATTTTGCAAATTTTGCAAATTATGTAGCGAACAATAATGGGAGTTTACAGCTGCTAGGTTAGCATGGTGCTAACTGCACGCCTAATTCATCACACACTTTCCATGAGTTGTTCATCTCTAAGAAACTTGCTAATGTGGTTTTGTACTGTATATAATATACTGTTATCTATAAAAAAGCCTTAAAAGTGTGTTAAAAAGAAAAGTTCAAGCCTCAAAAAGGCTGCAACTACTGTCGCAAACCACATAAACAAATACATTTGAGATTAGTTCTATTACTAGTTGGCTACATTAGCCAATTTAGCTCCAGTGCAATATGAAAGAAGCAATACAAACATGCTGAATTTGGAGGAAAATAGAGTAAATTTGATCATTCATTTTAACTCTCTATTGCATGGTGTCTCAATTTATCTCAATTTTACTAAAAATCAGTAATATAAAATGTGTTTTCCTATTTAATTGTGGAAAAGGGGTCTTTTAATTTAAAAGGACAAATACTTTATGACATCACATGACCAGGAATCCTTATTATGATGTTCTTATCCCAATACATTTCAAGTTCCAGTTGAAATTGTATTCATTTCCAATTTTTGTAAATATTGGGTCGTACATTGTACTAAGTATAAGTTGAATTTGTTTGGTCTTGTTTTCAATAAAAGGATGTTTTTAGAGAAAATTTTGATTTTATGGTGCTTTTTTTTAGATTTTATAGTGCTGTGCTACGATTGCACATTGCAACAATTTACCAAATACCCCACTTTAAAAAAAATATATAGATTTTTAAAAATATTTCGATTATTTAAGCAGTTTTAAATAACAAAAACATATTAAAACCTTTTTATCATATTTAAGTAATAATTCATGTAATAGAGGGTTAAGCTTGTGTTGCTTCAGGACAGGCATGTGCACGGATGAATCACAGAGAGGACCCGAGCCTCTGCCATTTTGCCCTCAGACTGCACATATACCCTGCTGGATGGCTTACATTTTAATTAAGTTGGCTGGACAAAGCCAATTTACTGTTTTTCATTTTATTATTCTACACTATTCTGTATCGTTTTCATTCAGTATAGTTTTCAAGCTGCAACTAGAGCCTATAGGAGAATATTGTGCTTGTACTGATCACACATGGTTTTTGGGATATGGGATACTATAGTAACAGCCTAACAACACCTTAACAACCACCTTAACAACCACCAATACCAAAGGAACAGGCAAGGAACACCTTAGCAACATTCTAGGACTCCACACTGACAATCAGTGTTCATGCCTTGAACTATAATCTAAACAATACTACTTCAATGTGAAGTAGTAATATAAGTAGTAAATATAATTAACTTTCATTTACATTCAGAGTTCCCTTTTTTTGTCTATTCCAGGGCAAAAACATTTGTAGTTTGGGTGTTTATCACATTGTGTTTCCAAGGATTTGATGGTATTTAGTGATCGTATAGGAACTATATTGGACAAATGGCCCCCAGTGGCCACTTTCAGTACTGCGACCAGACTGATAAACTGGACAGAGATTAGACTGGACCTGAATCGAATTGCTATTTTTATGACCAATATTGCAGTTGTAGTTTAAATGCAATTACTGTCTATAAACACATCAACAGCCATGGGTCTTCAGCTAGCTATAAGAAGTAGCTTGGTATTCCCACAATGGACATCATGGCAGAGGCTGCCAAAAGAGCCAAGAAGAAGATGTTGACGGTGGAAGCGAGGAAGGGAAAAAGAGAGAGACAGAGCAACAGATCGGCCAAGAGTGAATCTCAGAGTGGCTTTTACTCGTTGACGAGAGCTAAAAGAGATAAAAGGATGCAAGACAATCTCACGGCTGACGGGAAAACAATGGAAATCCGACAGCAGAGTGCAACCCTGCCAATGTTACTTATGAAAGATTGTGGCGTATCTTTATCTGTGTCATTCTTGTTTGACAGAGTTCGGATACTAAAAGTCATCTCACCTCCGTCCCGTTTCAGGTTGGCATGCAAAGAAATAATTCATCTTACGGCAAAAAGTTTGTTCAGCCTCTCACATCAAATAAGCCTTGAAAGTTTGCAACCTCCTGTAATAAAATCCTGTAATATTACTTTGCCTTGTAAGTCTGCATGGTCTATTCTCTTCTAATGTTGTGTTTGCCGATGTTGTGCCAAATTCCGTCTCACCAGCAGAATCCAACTCCCCTTCACATCACTTGCACATCACCCAAGCACAAAGGCGCTATTGATTTACACATAGAAACAACTGAAATGGCGAGTTTAATCTGTGTGTAATCTGCAGTGTCCATATGCCTGCATGCGAAGGGGAGTCGGATTCTGTATCCTTCAGCTAATATTGGATATAATTAAAATTGCAGATCTCGCGATTTGAAAACTGCACTCTTCAAAATTGCGATTTCAACATGAAAATATTGATTAATATTTCAGCCCTACCAGGTAGAGTCGTGAAGTCACTGATCACATAGACATGCTCCTCGTCCGGATCAGAGGCTATGGAATCCAGCTCCTTCTTGAAATCTCTGAAGAATGGGTCGCTCTGATTGACCACCCCGATGACATACATCTCAATGCCATCCAAGTGGGCGTCTTGCACGGCGTCCTCCAGTCTGACTACGTCTCGCTTGTCTGCCTGTCCATCCGTTATCACCACCGCCACTTTCTTGACCCCAGGACGGGCCAAGCGGAACAGCTTATTGGCCTCATGGATGGCACTCCCTGTGTAGGTCCCCTCACCCATGTAGGCCATCCTGCGTACTGCCGCTTTCACCTCTTCTCGAGTGGACTGCTGGTGCAGGCTGCTGATCACCATGGTAACATGGCTGTAGAGCACCACCCCAACGTGGGTCATATTCGGACTGACCGACACACGGTCGATCAGGGCATTCACAAAGTCTTTGATGATGCCAAAGCTGTCCGGACCCACGCTCTCTGAGCTGTCAATCACGAAAACCAGCTCCAGGGGTTTCACTCTGCATGTTACCCCACAACCTGAGGACAACAGTCAGCCAGTTTTAGGGTAAACAGGCTGTGTTTCAGTTTACACAGTGCTCTGGCAGTCAGAGGTTTGGGGACACTGACATGTAATTATTTGGACGTAATGTTTGATTTTCATTGTTTTTTTAATATCAGTATTGCAAAAGCCAATTTCATGATTGACAAGTAGTGCAACTAAGTGAATATTTGACTACTGGTGAACGCCGACATCACAGCAAGGACACTATTATTCAGAAAAATCGAAAAATCTAAGCAGCTTTCTATTTAATATAAGTTACTGCAAACTGACAAATCAATATTCGTATGAAATGTATCAAACATTTTAAAAGCCTCCAGACTTTTGACAAGAAGTGCAGATAAACAAATTGTCTTTATTTACTCACCACAAACCGATCTGATTAGTTTGATAACTTCTGTTCTCTGCAAAACACAAGAAGGAAATTAGCAAGGGCAGGGCACCTATCTGACATCAACGATTTGGTCAAACATCAGCGTAGAAATGACACTGTCTCTTGACAGCACTTACAGTGAGACCAGGTTCTCCCTTTTGCCCTGTCCTACCCTGCCAAGCGCAAAAAAAAACAAAAAACAAAACACTAAATTAAAGCATCAATTCAGCAAAAACATCACTACTGTGATCTCCTCAAATGCTACATACAACTACATAGTTAGTTACATAATTAACTAGAAGGGAGAATTTGTGAAGTTGGCTTGACACAGACTAACACTTCAAAATTTCAATTAAAGCAGTTGCAAAGTGGTGTTAATCCTTTTTCATGACTTAAATTGGGTTTATATGGTAAAAGGTAGTTGGTCTGGTATTGCTACGAGGTGTTGCTAGGCTGTTACTATAGTATCCCAGGTGGTTGTTATAGTGTGTTAGGACGTTGCTATGCTATCACAAGCGCTTGCTAGGGTTTTGTTAGCATACTTGTACGATGGTGACATAAGAGGGGTGTCCAAAAACATTTGGCTACAGAGTGTATACTGACTATGGTGGAATAAAAGGTAGAGGTAAATGAAATTCTGCTAGTTTACCAATTGTGAGCTGTGTTAGCGTCTGCCTACATTGTCCCTTTAAATGCAAATAACTTCAACAAGATCATTTTTCACAAAAAAATCATAAACATGTTTTTTCTATGGTGTTTACCACAGGCCCTGTCTGTCCTGGGTCCCCCGGGCCTCCTTTGTCCCCCTTCCGTCCCCTCTCGCCTGTGAACCCGCGGTCCCCCTGCAAACAGTACCAAGGTGAAGTTGAGGTTTTCTTAAGGAATAGGCTATGAACCAACACCGCAGGCCCAACAGTCTTACCTTCTGCCCAGGAATACCCTCTCCTTGGGGTCCTCTTGGTCCTTGTAACCCCTGGTATCCAGGATCTCCCTAGATGGGTTAACCAAAAAATGAAAATGTATTAAAAATTAAAGCAATAGTTTAGCAAGAAATCAAATGTACAGAATTTCCCTCTCGCCTCATGCTGCTCACATGGACCATCGAGTATATTGACGAAGTAAAAACCTGTTTTTTGTTTAACTGAGGGGCTGGAGACTTATGTTCTTAACTAGAACTAGACTGGTCAGCAAGCTAACAGGCTAAAAGATAGCCAGAAGTCTATTAATATCACAGACTTGAATGAAAGTACTTACGGTATGATTAACTGTAAAACAGCTGTATAAAAGTCATTTGTCACTTGAATGGATTAAACGCTTCAAATGTTTGTGTTTCAGTCAGAAGTTGCATCAAACCCAGGCTGAATCCTAAACGGCTCTGTACTCCCTAAATAGTGTGCTAACTATGAAAGTTTACAAATTCTAGCCTCCACAGCCAAATAGTGCATCATTTATTGAGTCCTAAATGACTATTTCTTAGCTATATTTGGCACTATTGGGTGCAGGATCCATTGTTTAAATTCCTTTCCATTTAATAATAATAACAATAATAATAATAATTATTATTATTATAATTTTTATTTATATAGCCCTTTTTTATTCCAGTGGCAGCTCAAAGTGCTTTACAGACAGATGATAAAAACAGTTATACAAGAAATTGTAAGTATTAATTTAGAATCACAAGAAAATGACGAAGATCAAATTAAAAGATAAACACCACGAGACAGAGTTTTAATTAAACGCTACGTTAAAGAGATACATTTTTAGATGTTTCTTAAAAGTGAGCACTGAGCTTGACTGTCTAATAAAAGGTAGAATCAAGTTCCACAGTTTAGAAGCAGAATAACTGAACGATTCTCTCCATGTTTTCTGTATTTTACAGAAGGTGTTTGCTGAAGGTCAGTATCTGCAGATCTAAGATCACACACTGGAACATAAACAGACAGACACTCTGTGATGTAAGAGGTGCTTTAAGATCATTTAGAGCTTTAAAAACTAGTAGCAGAACTTTACAATCTATCCTCAATGATACATTCCTAATGACATCACCGAGAGGTAGCATGTACAAAGAGAAAAGCAAAGGCCCTAAAACTGAACCTTGGGGGACTCCACAAGAAATGCCAAATCTTTTTGCTAAAATGATTTCCAAGTAAAATCATAAATTGTCTATTACCAAAATATGATTTAAACCATTCTAAAACTATACCTGAGAGGCTGACACAGCATTCAAGACACTGGATTAAAATCTTTTGGTTAACGGTAGCAAAAGCTGCACTAAGATCTAAAAAAACAAGAATAGAAGGAATTTGTGCATCAGCACTGAGCCTAAGGTCGTTCATAATGTGAATCAATACTATGGTTAGATTGAAAACCTGACTAAAATCTGTCATGTAACTAAGACTTGCGGTGGTAATTTGGTGACCAAAAAGTACTTATAAAGTACTATGTGTGTTTTATCATATTTTAAATTTTTTTACTTCATATTTAATTTTTTTTTTTACTTTAGATACTAAACATGTATTGACTGTTTGACTATGTTTGGAGAAAATTGTGTACATTCGATTTTTTTTGCCAAACTATTCCACTAATACAGCTCTTCAGTAATACCTGTGAGGTGAGGCAGTAACTATGCCATGAGCCCCATCATAATGACTAACTCTAATATTCCCTGCTTTGTTAAGTAGAAGAGTTCATAAATGAACTAATGTGGTACTTCATATTTATAACACTAGTTTAAAATCCCTGGACCAAGTGATGAAGTCATTCTGAGATGTTTACTCTTAACTTCTCTTACCTTTGGCCCTTGGATGCCCTCTCCTGGCAGCCCTGGTGGACCAGGTGGACCAGTCTGACCAACTGAACCCTGCAAAAAAACAACGGTACTGAAATTTCTTCTCTGTGTAAACAGGTCGGCCTCTGTTTATGTGCAGGAATGTCTTAAGTTCAGTGAAGCATCTGGTATCAGAACTTCTAGAGCATTAATAACCCTGAGAATCAGGCCTTTGACTAAATTATAAATCCTAAAAATGTTCATCATAGATGTTGCATTAGAGCCACCTAGAGGGCAGGAGATGAGCTACAGTTTCAAAACACCCATTACAAACACAATTTGCCCTTCGTTGTCACTCAGATCATTCAAAATCAGTATAAATGACTGAGAGACAATTTAGCCAATGAGATATGAAATTCAGATGTGATGCCAAATGAAATATGCCAACAAACACCAAACACTTCTATAGCCTCTACAGTAGGATTTCTCAAGTACTGGACCGCAGACCACAAATGAGCCACGAGGCACCCTCTGGTGGTCCTCGGGAACATTACTAAGGAGAAACCAGTTGTCCATTGTGGGCCAGTGATGGTACTTTGTCATAATAATCAATGAAAAAATTGATTTATTAGTACAAGTCATGCAACAATGGTGAACAAGGCAGCTTCATATATTTTTGGCCCCTTGCCTCTAGACACAAAATACACTGCCCTGAAATTGCAGTCGTCCACTCATGGGTGAAAAATGTAGCTTAGTTTGCCATCATTCCACCTGATTTCAGATAACAAGCTTATGTTCAACTATTCTGCTGATATTTAATGTTCAGTTATACACATGGCATGTTGTGCCACCCAAAAATTGCTGTTAAAAAATTCTACTATAGAAAGAACTCAGTCAAGTAAGAAGTCAGTGCCCATGCTGACCCGTTGAGGATGAGCTTACAAACACGTTTCAAACTTACATAACGGCAGTGAGCAGAATACCCTGCAATAATCCTTTCAACTCTCTCAGTGTTGCTTAGGCTAATGCCAACAGAGCCAAAATGTTTGGCTGTCATTTTTTTCCTTTGGGATATTTTCTTTTTCTCTTTTTTAATGAGAATCCTAAATTAACAAAGAGAGAATTTTGTTTTCTCTTTTTCATTTGAATCCTCAGAATACTGGAAATGGCTACATGGATTAAATAAAATAGCTTTAGTTAAGAAAAACAAATACAAAAGCCTTCTTTCATTTTGAAGGTCTGAACTTGTGTTTGAGTGTCTAGTAACCCCAAAGATTGTAGCTTGAGGCTTTCAGAGGGTCCAAGTGATTAACTAGGGACCCTCAGTATTTTGCACTTCGAATGATGGTGAAATAACTAACCTTTGGGCCTAATAGTCCAATGCCTGGTGGTCCAACTGGCCCAGGCGGTCCTGCAGGGCCTCGATCTCCCTGAGAAAGAAAATGTCCGTAAGAAAACGTGCCAGCATGAAACAAATGAATATTTATCTTGACATGTAAGAATACGTGTTGATGACACATTACAAAGACAGAATGCTCCACCCACATACTGAAAAAAATCAACCTAATGAGAAAGAATACAGAAATTTAGAGTGTGTTATTAATTTCAAATTTTTATTCTATATGTGTTTGAAAAGCCATACTGTTAGATTAGATTAGGTGAGGTTATGTATTTTGACAAAAACATCACTTTTGTGAATTGAATTTCATTAGATTTTCTGCAATATTCTGTAAAGCTTGTCCTGCCTATCAACAGTAGCATGTGTTGGCAGAGCATGGTTATGTCAATAGGAGCAATTCTGTATAGAGGTTATTACTTTGGTAGAGGGTAAATGCATTTCTCCTAAAAGCACAGACCTGTTTTTCATAAAAAATTCTCACAAAAATGAACAAAACATTACTATATCAGAGCTAAATCACCTCTCATCCTCTCCTGTAAGTGACAAAAGCTATCAAACAGCTGACTTGTTTTGTACCTTTGGTCCAGGTAAGCCTTTCCCCTCTGGCCCCATCTCTCCTCTCAGTCCTGGGGGACCTTGAAGTCCCTGTGCATTACATGGGGGACATCAACACAATAAACACTGAATGATTCTATCGATACATGCAGTATTTACTGCAGCTGGAGATGCTAGCTTAGAACAAAAATGTGGGCTGGCTGGTGGACCTCACTGAAGTAGTTCATAGTAAGTGAAACATATTTACAGGTGGTCCAGGGTAGCCATCTCCCTTCAGCCCAGGTGGTCCCATAAGTCCAGGCAGTCCCTTGTCCCCCTTAAGATCAAGAGAAGAGATTCAAGAACAGGACAAAGAGTTATCATCTTTAATAGAAATAGGACTTAAGTAGTCCTCGACGGCAGTGTGCTTCACCTATATAAGTACATGCAATAGTTTCAACACCCCTGGTCAAATGACATGTTTTGTTGATTTTCAAAGTGAAAAAAAGTTCATCTTCCACAGAGAACACACTTAAATATGTCATTTTTGGCTATTTTAGTCATTATTTATTGCTGAGTTTACAGATTGGAAATTTAAAATATGAAAAGTACCATAACTTTTGCACAAAGCACTTTTTTAAAAGTTAAATTCAGTAGTTAAAATGTGCATTAAAATGTGTTTCTGTAGAGGATGCGTTCACTTGTTTTCACTTAGAAAATCAACAAAACATCATTTGACCAGGGGTGCCCAAACTTTTGCACACAACTGTAACTACTGTTGCCGGTTTGGACGAACTTTACAGAACATTGCCAAAAATCTCTTTCAGCCCAATGAGAGAATCAGATGCGCAACTCATTTCCAAAATGCGTGTATTTGTTCAGTTTTAAATGATATCTTATATGTTCGTTAAATGTTGGGATAGACTGGATGTTGCTTTTAAGTTGTGTTATTGATATTTTTAGAGATAAACATCTGATAAGCTAAGCTAAGCTAAGTTCACTGCTTTCAGCTATTGGAACACTGTTAGCTAGCTAAGTTGACATCTTAGCCTACACCACTAGCATTGTTGGCATGGCTGCGTAGCCTAAAAACACTGATTACTTGACAGGAAATACACTAAAAACACAATTTTAAATTAATTATGCACTGTAAATGTACATGGTTTTACAAAAACTGAGCTACGCGCTACAATTAGCATGAACGAGAATTTCTGTTGACATTCTGTAAAGCCTGTCCAACAGAAGGGATGCATTTGCTGCCGGAGAATGGGTGGGTCATTATGTACACTGCTATGACCTTTTAGACAGGGGCTTTGATTTGATTCAGCATTGACAGCAAAATACTGTATTCAGCTGGATTTTGCAATATTTAACCTTGGGTCCAGGTATCCCGACTCCTCTTTCCCCAACAGGTCCTGGTAGTCCGGGTTGTCCAGGATCCCCCTATGAAATAGACATATATATCTGAACCAAACTAACTAAGGCTTATACACCAATCAGCCGTAACATTAAACCCCCTCCTTGATTCTACACTCAATTTCCATTTTATCAGCTCCACTTACCATATAGGTGCACTTAGTAAGTCTACAGTAACACACTGTGGTCCATCTTTTGCTCATATACTTTGTTAGCCCCCTTGAACACTGTTCCTTAATGATCAGAACCAGTTCACATGGCTGCCATTTTGCTCATTGTGCCACACATAGCGTGGAAACAGGGTAAATCAGTCAGCAGCTAAGAGAACGTGGAGGTAAAAAGGCCCTGTGAGCCATTTGACGGTAACTACTATATCTCTGAGGTAACAGGTAACCTAGCTAACATGATACATATGAGCCTAGCTAGCTAACCATAGCTGAGGTAGCTAGCTAAACAAACAAATATTAGACTGTCTTACAATTCAACTCAGAATTTGGCCAGATATATCTTAGTTTGTCTTTTTGTCTGTGCTTGTAAGAACTGCACTTCAGGGCTAAGGCCTAGCAGTTCAACAAGCAAACAACAGGCAAAATGGATTTGTGACTTTAATCCAAAAACTCTCTGCCATGTCAGTAGTTTATACAATCTGTTAAGTAATAATTCTGGGGTAAAAAACTGAACCTTGAGGGACTCCACAAGAAATGCCAAATCTTTTTGATGAATGATTTCCAAGTAAAACCATAAATTGTCCTTTACCAAAATATGATTTAAACCATTCTAAAACTGTACCTGAGAGGCTGACATAGCAGACTCGGAGCTCCTTCAGTTCAAATCAACCATACAGTAATGTTATAACAAATCTCTGTTTTTTGGCAACCAGGAGACAACGCTAACCGCTAAAATGGAGCTCTTGGCATAGTTCCTTTCTCCAAGTTCAAAACAGGACTTACAACGTACAACATTTTTGGTGATGGGCTAATTAGAAGAAGAATGTAATATCTGAAGGTACATCTCACAAGACGATTTCTGTCCTGTTGGGCGACATTTGTTAAGCTAAATAAACCCACTTTACTGGTTTAATGCTATTATATTATTAACTAGGGGTTCATTTTTGTTGTTTGTTTGTTTGTATCTGTTTAATTTTAGTCTTAACACTGAAGTGACTTTCAGTCCAGGTTGTCTGAGGTCATTTATGAATCAGTCAGTCAGATCTCTTTGCAAATAATATCACCGGACCCCCTCTAGTAAAACTAATCCAGCTCGAATAGAGCTTAAGGCTAAAATAATCGCTTTCTGGGTACGTTTGTGTTTGGATTCTTTTAATTTTGACATATAATACTAAACTTGGAATCATACAAAATCTCATTAATGTTACCTTAGCACCTGGTATACCCCTTCCTGGAGAACCAATCATTCCAGGGAGGCCCAAAACCACCTGGTTTTCCCTATTTGAGAAGAAACATGTGTCACGCAGATGTCTGACAAAACTGTTCAGATTTCCATTTTATTCATGTAGTCAAATAGAAGTACTGTTAATTAGATAACAATTAAATTGCTACATATTGCTTTGTTTATCATTTTACCTTTTCTCCAGCTGGGCCGGATGGTCCCATTGGTCCTGGTTGTCCTCTTGCTCCTTTCTCTCCTCGGTCCCCCTTTAAGAATAAAGCACGTTATGAGAGAATATTGTGATGCACAAATTCCATCTGACAGAAATATTAGTTATTTATTTTCTATCTACTTGACCTCTATTAGGCAGGACCTCATATATACCTTCTCTCCAGGAAGACCTTTACCAGGTGGTCCATCTTGTCCTCTAGGCCCAGGAAAGCCTATGTCACCCTAGATAGACAAGATTACAGTGTATATGTGTCTGTGCCAAATGTATTATTGTTTTGTTTTCTTTTATTGGTATTTTTTATTTATATATTAACTTTTTCCCAGTTTTCTCCTTAGTTTAGCTGCTACCAAGTCCAACCCACTAACTATATTATTGGACAGCTGAACAAGCTTGGGTGTAATAGGGCGAACCCTTTAGACAGTTGTGCCAATCTGGAACGCCAAACGTTTTTTGAGTGGTGCTGAAACATCTTGGTTAAAAATTCATCAAGTGAACATGCCAACCTTTGGGCCCATGGGTCCGTCTTCTCCTGGAGCACCTGGCTCGCCCGGTTTACCTTGAAAGCCAGGATCGCCCTACATCACAGAGTGGAATGTCCATATATATTTATTTTTAACAATTTATTCAATTTCTTACAATTCTAAAAATGGCTGGACAGTAAAAGCTTGCAGGCTCTTACTCATTAGATTTTTTTTAAGTTTTTTTTTCCAGGATTGGTATTTTAAAGCATCTTCAAATGCAAATATTTAACTTTTACTTCATAACAATTTGAATGAAATATTTTACATTCTACCCCATTACTTTTCTTCTACTATTCCCAGTTCCAAAATAATGTATACAGTGGTTTTATAAAAATGAACTACTGAGGTAAACATTATACCAGTCAACCCAAAACTCCATGTTGTACAATCTTAGTACAGTTTTCAATTATCTTTCCAGTACAACCTGTGAAAAATCATTGCTCTTACCTTGGGCCCTGGCTCTCCGACACCTTTCTCTCCAGGTGGTCCACGTTCTCCAGGGAAGCCACGGACTCCCTGAGAACAAAACAGAAAACTTGTATTTCTTCTGGAGTCTTCTGATGAATTGCACTGTTTCAGATTCTTCATTCTTCAGTGAAGTAAACAAACAATTATCTTACCTTCTCACCAGTGATTCCTATCCCTTGGACACCTCTTGGACCGGGAGTGCCCATAGGTCCCTGGATTCCCTACAGATGTAGATAGCAGAATGTAAAACTTGAGGCATAATTGGCTAAGACATCACATATTTTCATATGATATAGAGTCATAGGCAAAAGTTCAGATGACATGTTCTGCTGATTTTCCAAGTGAAAATAAGCTAACACATTCTCTACAGGGAACAAACTTAAACTTATATATGGCATTTTTTGACAAATTTTGGTGAAAAATTTCAAAGATTTTAATGAATATAACAAAAAAAGAAAACATAAAATATAAAATGTGCCTTAACTTTTGCACAGGCCACATTTTATGTTTAATTTTTTGTCCCAGTATGTTAAATTGAATGAATAAACAGAAATCATGTATGTCCTCTGTACAGGATACATACATTTACATTAATTTCACAAAATCAATGACAACATCATTTGACCAGGGTCGAACTTTTGCATACAACTGTATTTTATATATTTGTACATGCTGTGCCTCAGTTCTCATAAGATAACCGTCAACATGTCATGGTATGGCAGCATTCTACATTATACCCTATAATTACAAACCTTTTCTCCTTGAATTCCCAATCCAGGAGCCCCCACTGGACCAGGAGGCCCTGGAGGCCCTATGTTCCCCTGTGGATGCACACAAATTAAAGAAGTAACATCGAATACTTTAAAGTGATGGGTTAGTGAAACATCTTATGTATACAGTTTTCTCCTCAGCCAAGACATGCTTGGTGACTGAACTTAGTTTTGCACTGGAGCAATAAGGCTAATGTAGTAATTCAAGCTTATAAGCAACAGTTAGCATTGTGCAAACTGCATGCTGAAATAATCACACTTGCCTCAACCCCTGTCAAATAGATGGAGTGCAGTTTGAATTATAACGAGTAGGTCTTTGGATCAAGCCTTTCATCTACTAAGGATTCTCTCAGAGGTCATATTACTCTGTTTAACTCTAATCCACTTAACCCAGTTCAAATTGGCAGACTTTTGCTTCAAATGGTTTATGATGTATTATTTTTGCTGATCTGTGTTGCAATTTAATGATGTAAATAATGTGGGGCAAATGACTCATAGTGCTGAATATCCATTTGCATCCTTCTTTCGAGGTAGTACTTTATTAGATTCATGTTATTTAATTAGGCAACGGAATTGGCATTTAAGAATTTAAAGCCAGTTTGGCTCAATAAAGAGCAAATAATGTTATTTATATTGTGACCTTTGCTAAAAGGAAGTACTGGAAATGTACTATTCGTTTCATACATTAAAAAAAACACTTGGCCTGTATTGAAACTGTAAACAGAATCAGCTATAAAAATGCTTCATCTGTGCATCCCTACTTACTATTACTTCCCATGAGTTACGACCTAACAAGTGATCTAATGTAGCTTTGGGGATTTGGAGACCTTGTGTGTAAAAGTGTGTAATTGCATGCAATGTGCAGATAAACATTTTATAATGTCAGTTGTGATTTGGTCCCCTTCCCTGAGTGGATGAATCTGAAGATTGCAAGCGCTTTGCAAAATTATTCTACGAGAACCTCAGTCAAAACTTGGTGAAGGACGTGTCTTCTGAGGGTCTGAGGGGCTTGTGACGTTAATATGTGAAGACAGACAACCTAATTTTCATTATGCTCTACCTTTTCACCCTTGAGGCCAACTCCTGGAAGTCCTTGTGCTCCTGTGGATCCATTATAGCCTTGATCCCCCTGTATGTATGAAATGTAAAGGCAGGTTCTGATTTAATTTTTAAAACACATAGTAGTTATGTAGATTTTCAGAACATAGATGTGGTGTGTGGTAGAAGGGATTGAGTGTGTACTCAAAAGAACACTGTAAATGATCAGTCCATACAGTTTTTCAGCGTTAGTAATTGTAGAGCCCATAAAAAATACTCATAGGTCATCTACAGGCTTGTGTATTACAAGAGGGAGAGTGTGGGTGTATCTAAAATTACTCACCTTTGGCCCGGGTAGTCCCTCTCCTGGTGGGCCAGGGATTCCCAGTGGTCCTGGAGGCCCTGGTGGTCCCTTGATTAATTGATAATTACAACTTTATGCATGGTTGATACACCATGTACATGTAGTTATAGACTATAGCTCATCTACAGGTACACTGGTCATCTTTGCCATTTCACCACACCGTTATTACTAGGGATGTGCAATCTGACCAAATTTGAGTTCATGAATGGATATCCAGTAAACCACAAGGCAGAAAACCAAAAATGACTTTGGCCCAAAGTAACACAAGACTGTCGGCTTATCGTTTTAGCTGACAGCACTGGTGTTGCATGAAATTTAGCAGCATATAGAGGAACATGTTTTATTATTCAGAAATAGCTGAGGAGAATTGATTTTGTGCTGGATGAGTTACAGAGGCTACTTCTTCAGATAAGCTAATGTGCTAACCAAGCTAACAAATGTCATGTTGGATGCTGATGAGGACTTAGCGTCTCCTACATGAGGTATTTTCTCCTCAGTGGAGAATGTGCCAACATTTTATTTGCCAGAGAAATTTTTTCATTGTTTCTGGACCTAGCTAACATCCGCTAGAGTAGCTAGCCTAGGTTAGTTGAGTAGCAGAGGCTGCATCTTCAGATGAGCTAATTCAGCTAACATAGGTAACAAGTGTCATGTTGGATGCTGATGAGGACTCATTGTCTCTTACACAAGGTATTTTCTCCTCAGTGGACAATGTGTCAACATGTTATTTGCCAGAAAACACATTTGCATTGCTTCTGGACCTAGCTAACGTCCGCTAGAGCAGCTAGCCTTAGTTGAGTAACAGAGGCTGCATCTTCAGATGAGCTAATTCAGCTAACAAGTGCCACGTTGGATGCTAATGAAGACTCATAGTCTTCTATGGGAGGTAATTTCTCCTCAGTGCTGACATGTTGTTATTTGTCAGAAATATATATTCATTGTTTCTGGACCTAGCCTAGCCTGGTTAGCAATAAAGCCAAACTATCTTTGCCTTCTCAGACTCATGTTCGCACACTCTTGTTTTGAAGTAGCAAAATATAACATAACATACTCGCAAATATGAGAAAAACCTTCTTCCCTGGTAAACTGAGTACTCGAGTACCCTTGCACATCCCTAGTTATATCCACTTACAGGTAGGCCTGGTTCCCCAACTCCAAGTGGGCCAACTGGACCTGGCCGTCCCTGGTTTCCCTTGTCCCCCTAGAACAATACAGAGTGTGTCAGATGTGGAAAATTGAAGGACAGTGAAGGATGTTTACAAGATTTTTTGCATTAAAACTGCAAAAAAAATCCTTAAAAAAATTAAAGGTTGCTAAATGGTTCTTGGCTTCAACACATGTTTCTAGGTTAAAAAAAAACTTTAATTGGTCTACAACCACTACATTATACTGAGAATCTTTAAAAAGGTCCATCACACATTTTAAAAAAGTTGTTATTTAAAGCGGTGGTTCTCAAACCTGTCCTCAGGGACACTTGAATGGTCCACATTTTTGTTCTATACCTATGATCTACACCCTTTGTGAGTTGGGTTTGAGCAAAAGACGGACCATCTGAAGGGTCACTAAGAACGGGTTTAAAAGCCACTGCTTTTGATTGAAAGGTTCTTTAGGGAACCAAATAAAGGTTCTTCTGTGACTCCCAAAGAACACTTTTTGGTTGCATTTGTCACCTTTATTTTTAAGAGTGTAGGTGCAGACACATTTGAAGTGTCCTGTGACAAATTTACTGAAGTAGGCCATTTTATTGTGCCAAATCCACAAAGCCCTCAAGCAGTAGTTTGCAAAATTATGCCAAGTCCCACATAGTTAACTGCTGAGGTTTGATGGAGTTTTTCCTTCACTTGCTGGAGGAAGTAGTGTTTAGAAATGGTGGTGATTGGCTGAGAGACGTGCCGTTCAATTATTTTGGTCAACTGCATAAGGGGTTCAAATGTTTCATTGGCCACTGTTCTAGGATACATGCTTCTCTGCGTTTTGCATAGATAATCCCCTTGATGCCAAAAGAGAACACTGCACATTGGACCATATCGGTGAAATATGAGGTTATTTTTCAGAATTTGGTAGAATGCTTCTCTAGGCATGTGTGGGTTATGTATAATGTAGAGTATCACATACTTTTGTAGATGATATATAACTTGAAAGCCTTCATTTTTGGGCCTACAGCGCAGCATGCTAACAGCACATATTAAAGCTCAGATGTTTGTTAAAAATAGATAATTCCTTAAGTGCAGTGGTGGTTCACCTTAGGACCAGGGAATCCAATGCCTATGTCCCCTTGAGGTCCAGTCGCACCAGTAAGTCCGCGGTCACCCTACAAGCAAATTAAATGTGAGCTAATTATAATTAGCAGCTAAACCTTCTGCAATGTATCACCCACTAAAATTCAGCAAGCTATTGTACATTCACAGGCCACTTTATCAGAAACCCATGCTGTTTCTAATAAAGTGCAAAAGCTTTATTTAGTTTACTGTTTCATGCAATTTATTGAGTTATCTCAGTCTCACGGAATTACAAGGGTGTTCATATTGCTGGAAAGCAAACTTGCAGTTCTGGAGGTTGCTTAGCTGTTACTGCACATCTGCCAAATATGCTACACTTGTGAGCAAGCTGTGTTGCTATATCTGTCAGTGGTCTACAATTCAGCTACATGTCAGCGACAGAGTGGAATCCCCCCCCGCCTGTGACAGATTGTGATTTGATGTTGTTGCTTTGGTACATGAAGCGCGTCTGAATAAAGCATTTGACATTTAGCAAGAATAAAGCTGTCTTTCTTCCCACACTTCATTCTTCCTGATGCATCTGTTAAGTTCTGAGAGTATTCTTTGTTAAATTGCTCTTGCCCACACATAACATGGGAAAGACCATTCTATTGCCAGCCTGGCTAACAGACAGCGTGATAAAAGCAATATTGTGTCTATGTTTGTTTTTTCTTTCAGGGAGACATGCATCCTTTACAACCTTCAGTAAAGAGAAAAAGGAGCAAACAGTTCTTACTTTGGGACCTGCCTGGCCCTCTGGTCCTTGGTCCCCTGGTGGCCCTTGGAGTCCCTGTACCAAAAAAAAAAAGAGAAATTCACATTATTGATGCCCCGAAATGGAAATTTCCATCTGAAACTGCAACCGAAACTCGACACTTGAGATGCTTTTGAATAAATGTACTGAACATAAAAACTGCAATGCAAAATAGGACATAAAAGTGCAAAACTGAGCTGACAATAAATCAAAATGGTTTACACAAAATAAACTTACTAATATTATTACCGTATGTTATAATATGTTTCTACAAAATCCAATGTCCCCAAAAACAGGACATCCAAGGCAATGAATGATTTTTTTTTTGTTTTTTAGTTGTACTTTGTGCTTTGGCTGTTGTTTATGAATTATTGTCACTTCAAAAGCTGATCTACAGATGGTGTTAGCATGCTAGTGGTGACTTTCCTTTCTGCTTCTGTTGTTCTGCTGTATTCTGTGTATTGAGCAGGATGTTGTGTTTTCAAGAGGTGTCAAACCTGTGGTGGAGAGGTTCTTGGTGTACAGTGATTTTAAATCACTTTTCTGACATCTGTTGTAGAAACTGTGAAATGGCTCTACATCTTATTTTTGGTGCTAACATGGCTGCCATTATTTGTGTTCAGAGAGAAGTTTTTCAAACGCATGTATTTATTATTGATGAATAAAAACACTTGTAAATGCCTGCTACACTATATGGACAAAAATATTAGGACATCCCTCCTAGGTGTTTCAGCCACACACATTGCTAAGAGGTGGACAAAGTACATAGCCTTGCAGTCTCGATAGACAAACACTGGCAGTAGAATGGGTCGTACTGATAGGCTCAGTGACTTTAAACATGCCACTGTCATAGGATGCCACCTCTGCCACAAGTCAGTTTGTGAAATTTCTGTCCTGCTGGATCTGCCCCAGCCAACTGTAAGTGCTATTATTGTGAAATGGAAGTCTCTGGGACCAACAACATCTTAGCCACGAAGCCTAGGCCCCTTAGTTCCAGTGAAGTTAAATCTTAATGCTTCAGCAGACCAAGACATTTTGGACAATTGTATACTTCCAACTTTGTGGGAACAGTTTAGGGAAACCCCTTTTCCTGTTCCAGCATGACTGACAGCCCCAGTGCACAAAGCAAGGTCCATAAAGGGCCTGGCTGGGTGAGTTTGGTGTGAAGGAACTTGACTGGCCTGCACAGAACCCTGACCTCAAACCCCATCAAATACCTTTGGGATGAACTAGAATGGAGATTGCGAGCCAGGCCCTCTCGTCCAACATCAGTGTCTGACCTCACAAATGCTCTCCAGGATGAATGGGCAAAAATTCACAAAGATACACTCTAAAATCTTGTAGAAAGCTTGTAGAAAGTGGAAGCTGTGGAACCAACTCCATATTAATGCCTATGGATTTAGAATGGGATGTCATAAAAGCTCCTGTCAGTGTTTTACATAGGTGTCCCAATACTTTTGTCCATATAGTGTATGTCACATTATTCTTGACTTGAAGGAAATAAATAATAAAACAAAACATTTTAGAAAAGCAATGTTGAAAACTGCTTTTTCCTACAATTTTGGATATATCACACTATCAAATAGTGAGTTTTGCCTAAATAATAATGTGAGAGTTTTCTTTTCCAAACGACTGTTAAAAACACAAATTGAAAGTCTTTGGTTGAGTAATCTCTGCTTTACTGAGGGTACTATTTACTTTGTGATTCTTGTGCTGTGGCTTCTGTCTGCTGTGGTTTATGTGTGTGCTGTAGCGGAAATGGCACACCCATTCTTTGATGTACTGCACACAGCTAAGATGTTATGCTCAAAATCGTACAATTCCCAAACGACCTGCGCTCAGTGAAATTAAACAGGGATTTCATAGTATCACATAGATCCAAATGCACCCAGCACAGAAATAAAGTTCAGCTCATCCCACCAGACGAAATGCGTTTCAAAACAGAAAGTCAAAAATAACTAGATATGCATTTCCTGTAGGGAAATACCAGTGCTTGCAATGCAAAAAGCAAAAAATGAGCAATAGAAAAAGAAAAAATTAAAGATAAGAAAGACATTCAAGATAGATAGATAGAAGGAGAGTTGTAGAGTGATAAAGTGATAGAGGAATAGGGGGCGGTTGCTAAGGTGTTTCTATGTAGTACCTAGGTGGTTGCTAAGGTGTTGCTAGGCAGTTGTTAATGTGTTACAAGAAGGTTGCCAAGGTGTATCGGGTGGTTGCTAACATATTGCTAGGTGGTTGCTAAGGTATACCAGGTGGTTGGTATGGTGTTGTTAGAGGGTTGCTGAGGTGTTGCTAGGTGGTTGATAAGGTGTTGCTAGGCAGTTGCCAAGGTCTCCCAGGTTGTTGCTAATGTGTTGCTAGGCAGTTGCTATGGTATAGGGGTTGGTTGCTAAGGTGTTGCTAGGAGGTTGCCTTGATGTATGAGCCGTTTACTGAGTGGTGGTTAGGCGGTTGCCAAGTTGTTGCTAGGTGTTGTTGAAAATGAATGGTGGTCTATGGAAGAACTGAGAGATGAAAAAACAACACATGGAGGAGTGCAGGTCAGTATGGCTGTGGATTAGAGCTTGAGGACCTGCCCTGAGGGAGTACATGCAGTTTGGCGACTGCTGGACAAAAGATAGAAGGATAGATAGATAGATAGATAGATAGATAGATAGATAGATAGATAGATAGATAGATACCTTCAAGTGGAACCTAAAGTTAGACTGCTTACTGATCAGCTTCATATTAGGCCTCTCTGATATTTCCACCCAGGTTTGTATAATACAGGTGCCAATTCAGTCAGTTCAGGAAATGAAAGCATGCTATTTATGACTAAATATATTAATTTGATCCGTCAAAAAAGGAAAAACTGCCAAATATAGTCTAATTGAGATTGCATAATGATATTGGACCCAATTCATCTGATTCAAAATGATCAGTATCCGTCAGATGTTGAATGTTTAGTCGATGCTATGTTACCGCGGTAAAATCTCTGCATTTTACTGCATTTATAACACAATAGAAACAAATGCTTTATTTGTAATATAGGTAGTCCCCATTTCTACATTGTATAAATGTATCGGATATCAGCATTGACCTGCAATTCTCATATTTGTGCATCCTTAATTCTTTGGAAAAACAATGAATAAAACATTCTTATGGGTAAAAAAGTTTTTTTGTTTTTTTTTTACATTTTTCCGCCATCTGAAGGAAATTAATCATCAGCTGATGTTAACAACATGGCAATAAATATCATAAAGTGAATATTTATAGTTTATAGGCAACAAAAAGAACAGAACAGTGTATCTCAGTCGAAAGAAATCAGAGGCCTCTTTGCTGATGCCTCAGGACCCCAACTCTCCAGGGTCAAAGCAGGACCAGGCTACGGCAAACTGTCCCGACATTAATCCAAGCGCACAAAGTCTGCCTCGGAAAAAGAATAATATCCTGCAAGCTTGGATTCCCTGCTTTAATATGCTCATTGGCACAGGATTAAGAGTGATCCTCCACTCACATTCCATAAGTGCAGGGTGGAGAATGAGAGTGATTACCATGTTTAATTAACTATTGTTGGTATATCAGCTGTAGCATAATACCAACCAGTGGTCACCAATTTATTATACAGAGACTCATGTAGAGTAGCAAGAGTTATAAATGCTATGTTTGTTGAATAAAAATAACACAACTCACTGAACGATCCCATACTGATAGTAGTAACCATGAATACCATATAATGCCATACAACCTGACGCCAAACAACCACACCAGTGCCAGGAAAGAAAATTGCTTAGTGACAATTTTAGAGTATACTGTGCCTGTTCTCCTTTGGTGCCTCGTGGTCCTGGAGGTCCTTCAAGTCCCTGCAAAACACAGTATCTTGCCTCAGTGATCTACCAGAACATAATTTTGAATTATGGCCTTTGACATAGTATAGAGACACATACCTTCTCTCCTTTTTCTCCCGGAGCTCCACATTCTCCTCTGTCACCCTAAAACACAACTCAGAGCTTCCATGACTGCATAACTTACACATTTCTGAACACTTATGCTTAATGGGGACTTCACCAACTCGAGACACAAATGTTTTGAGTGAGGAGAACTTGGCAGGAAAAAGATAAAAATGTTGTATCTTAAGGTTCATGATTATGCTTTCTGGTGTCAAGCAAGTGGAACCAAAAGACTACCACATGTTCTGGTTTCATCTTGAACCTTCTATAGTGCTGCTTTTTAGCTTTAAGTTTGGCCCTTGACAGACAGTGGCTGCTTGTGTAAAATATGTACAAAATGTTATGTTGTACAGGTCCGCGCAGGACTGTTTTTTCAGTCCCGCAGCCACTTCTGCAGAAAATCGGAATTATTTGTCCTGCTCCCGACGCAACCAAAACGTTTTGTCCTGCCCCCACAGCTCCGGCAAGGCAAACTGACATCCAATATCCGACTTAGTCTATTCATAAATCCATTATTCTCTGCTGAAATAACACGGCAGTCATTTTTGTTGTTTTGCTGGGCAGCTGTGGCCATCAGACTGAAGGCTCCACCATCTCTGTAAGCTACAAAAATTTGTGTGTTGTTCATGTGAACGGTTGCTTCGCAACTCTTTAGAATGACTTCCTTCATTTTAATTGTTTACTGTTATCAATTTACACTGTTTATATATATGATTCAAAGATTGTTCTACTTTATTCAGACCATTCATTAATTTGCACGATTTTGCTTCATGCATGCTTCGTCCCACTCCCAACCTGGAACCTGCTGCTACTGAGTGCTGATTGGTTAGCATTACTGCTACTGAGTGCTGATTGGTTAGCTTTGCTGCTACTAAGTGCTGATTGGTTAGCATTACTGCTACTGAGTGCTGATTAGTTAGCTTTGCTGCTACTGATTGGTTGGTATCAATGCTACTGTGTGGTGATTGGTTGGCATTACTGCTACTGAAAACTGATTGGTTACCGTTACTGCTACTGAGTGCTCATCCGTTAGCATTCCTGCTTCTGAGTGCTGATTGGTTGGCATTACTGCTACTGAGTGCTGACTGGCTGGCATTACTTCTATTGAGAGCTGATTGGTTAGCCTTACTGCTACTAAATGCTGATTGGTTGGCATTACTACTACTGAGTGCTGATTGGTTGGTATTACTGCTACTGGGTGCTGATTGGTGGGCATTACTACTACTGAGTGCTGACTGGTTAGCATTACTGCTAATGAGCACTGATTGGTTGGTCAGCTGTTGAGCTTATTGGCTAAATGAAGTGGTTCACGCTCACTGATGTCATGAAAGCACATAAGACACTGTTACTTAAAGACATTAAAGTTAAAAAGTGTTCTGAAATTATTTACAAACTATGTTTTTGCACAAATGCCCCATAAAAACCTGTTTATTTTGGACTTGATGGACTAGATGCCCCCCGCATCTAACAAACCTCGAAGAGTCGCAGTTCTCCTCATAGTACTTTAAGCTGGTTAGCTAGCTAGCTGTTAATGAGTTAGCAACAAAAAACATGGGCTTGTCAAGTAGTTGATAGTGCAGTTTGACCTATCTTTGCTCCATTTGTTTCCAGATAGATTAAGTATACTAAAAATGTCTTCCAAGAGAAAAAGATGTCAGATGAAAGAGTAGTGAAGTCCTCCTTTAAGCACACGAGAAGCACATAGATCTACAAGGAAGAAACAGCGCTTACTTATTGAGTAGAAACTCTTACCTTATCACCCTTAAACCCAGGCCATCCCTGTGGATAAAAACACATAAACAAGGGTGTGTGCAGAGACAGCAGCATATGAGGTCAGTGACATTAAAAGTGGATCTGTGATTTACCTTAGGTCCCTCCACTCCTGGTTCGCCAGGAGCTCCAGGTTCTCCCTAAAGATAAAGATGAATTTCATTAAAGGATTTAAGTCTCGCTCTGGTGCAATGTCTTAAAACTAAGTCCGTTAAATGGACTCTCTGGCCAAAGTCCTTTCATCTGCTGTAAGCATTATTCGCATCGTACAGCAGTGCCGCAATAATATAAAGGGAGGTTTTCCAGTTTGAATTCTACAATACCAAAACTCTGTTCTGATATGATTAACCTTTGAAACACTACAACTGTATGGGGTGGATTTTTAGGAGTGGGCTGTTTCTTCATTAGCTGGTAAATGCAAAACAAAATCTATTCTTTCTCTCAGTTCTGGGTAAAACTGTCCTTGTGTCCATTTTGTGCTGAAAATAGACAGAATTGCTGCTCTCTTTACCATTTTGTTTGACGACTGAGGTAAAATATTAACGCTAGCTTAGTTTATTAGCCTGTGGATCAATGGCTAGGCTAGCAGTCAGGACTGATTTACTAGCTTTTTTATTGTGGCTTTTTTATGGTCATCTTTGTGGAGAGGTGTGAACTGTTTTGACTCCACATTGCTAACTAGCAGCTCAATGCAGATTCACAACGCTTCACACACAGAGAGACAACAGCTTCTTTGTTAATCTGACAACAGAGTTACCTTTCAACGTGGAATGATGTCAGAAAAAAACCTGTTATAGCTGAAATCCTTGTGTACTAAATGCAACTAAATGAAGACTTGCCACTTGAACATCACTGGTTGCTACTGCAGGCTCTATTTAACTGGTTTACACTTTATATTCTCTGTAACCGAACTATATTCTGCCTTCACTAGATGGTCAGCAGGTAGCTAATTGGCTAACAGGCTACTCCAATAATATTCAAAAGCAGGCTTCAAATTTAGACCTTTCTAGAAGAGTCTCAGTAAAACTGCATATAGAATACAGAATATCTTACATGCATTACAAGCTTCACATGCTTGTGTTATGCTAGAATTGGCATCAAATGGTATTACTAGCTTGCTACAAACAACAGAAATTAGCAACATGCTAGCAGCTAATTGGTCAATGCAAGGCTGCTTGTGAAACAACTTACAAGGTTTCTGCATAAAACACTGCTATGTAATGACATACAGCTGGCAGATCTTCATGATTTTACGACTGTACCAGGTTCACAGCATAAACAAAACTAAGGGGTTTATGTCAGTACATTTGTATATGTAGAATGACAGAGTTAAATTGAACTGAATTGCACTTCTGTAAAGGATGTGTTCACTTTTTTTTTTCTTAGAAAATCAACAAAACGTTTAATTTGACCAGGGGCGCCCAAACTTTTGACTTATATTGTAGCAGTTCCTCCAGAATTTAGGACACCATCCACTTTATACGAATATGAATACTTTATATGAATATGAATATCGTCACATCATTGCACATAAAACACACCCCTACATCTGTTGAATGATGTCATTGGTCATTCAAATATTTGCCGCCAGATTAATAACTAGAATGATTTATATGTGACTTAGAAGCACAAAAAGATGAAGTAACCTCCTGAAATATACTAATATTTCAATGTTATGCTCATTTTTTCCGGCTCACCCTTGCCCCTTTTATACCAGGCAGTCCTTCATAACCCGGATCTCCTTTTTTACCCTGCACAAGACACAAACAAACAAGATTTTGTCAAGAGCAGCTTTGGTCATCATTCTGCTGTACAGAAATGACCACAACTTTGATGACTCACAGGGCTTCCCGGAGGTCCTCTGTCTCCTTTCTCACACAAACATGTTTGGAGTCGTGGACACTGGAACATGACGTCAGAAAACAGACTGTGACAGCGGCAATTAGCAAGCGATGCTGTATAATTTTATTTTGTTCTTATATCACATGGGACGTTATACTTTAAAATACTTACTTCATTATTTGCGACTGTTTTCTGAAAAAAAGGAGACAACGATTAATATATATTTTGGTACTTTTTCTACTCCATCACGAGTCCAAACTTCTGCCCAGGACTGTTTTTGTTTCTAATGCAAAACATAATGCAATATTTTATTCAGATCAGCTGTTGCTATGATATCCCAGGTGGTTGTTAGTTTGTTACTAGGCCATAGCTATGCTATCCCAGGAGACTGCTAAGGTGTTGCTAGCCATTGCTATGGTACCCCAGGAGGTTGCTAGGGTGTCGTGAGGCCATCGCTCTGGTATCCCAGGTGGTTGCTAAGGTGTTGCTAGGCCATTGCTATGCTATTCAAGGTGGTTGCTAAGGTGTTGCTAGGCTATTGCTATAGTGTCTCAGGTGGTTGCTTAAGTGTTGCTAGGCCATTGCTGTGGTATTCCAGGAGGTTGATAGGGTGTTGCTAGACCATTGCTATGTTGTCCCAGGTGGTTGCTAAAGTGTAGCTCAGCCATTGCTATGGTATCCAAGGTGGGTGCTAAGGTGATGATAAGCTACTGCTGTTGTGCCCCGGGTGGTTGGTATTGTTTCTATGCCACTGCCATGGTATCCTAAGTGGTTGCTAAGGTGTTGCTTCGTCACTGCTATTGTGTCCCAGGAGGTTGCTAAGGTGTTACTTGGCCATTGCTAAGGTGTGCCAGGTGGTTGCCAAGATGTTGCTTGGCCATTGCTTTGGTATCCCAGGTGGTTGCTTAGGTGTTGCTTGGCCATTTCTATGCTATCCCAGGAGGTTGCTAGGATGTTGCTAGGCCATTGCTATGGTGTCCCAGGTGATTGCTAAGGTGTTGCTAGGCCATTGGTATTTTATTCTATGTGGTTCCCAAGATGTTTGCTGTGCTCTTGCTGCAGTATCCTAGATGGTTGTTAAGGTGTTACTAGGCCATTGCTATGGCATCGCAGGTGGTTGCTAAGGTGACGCTAGGCCATTGCTGTTGTCTCCTAGGTGATTGGTAAGTAGTTTCTAGGCCACTGCTATGGTATCCCAGTTGGTTGCAAAGGTGTTGCTTGGCCATTGCCATGGTGTCCCAGGTAGTTACTAAGTTGCTGCTAGGACACTGCTATAGTATCCCGGCTGGTTGCTAATATGTGTATATATGTGTGCTAGTATGTCTGTGAGTCTGTAGGTAATGTCTAAGAGGAGCAGTGTGAGTGATGTACTGTGTGACATCATTTATAACAGTTAGATTATAATTATCTCAACAGTCTACAATTTATTCCTTATGACAAAAATGTGTGTAAACGAAAACCATATGTGTGATCATTCCCAAAAGCACAAGCCCACAATTCCTGTATAGGCTCTACAATCCAGCAAAGTTTTGTGGTTTCAACTTGACAACTGGGACCCATGAAGACGGCACAAATAAGTGTAGAATAATAAAATGAAGAATGCTAAGTTGGCTTTGTTAATCATATTTCTTATTATGTTAGTAATATGATAATAACTTAAAGCAGTTCTTAGAAAGAGACATTTAGACTCTATTGGGCACAAGCAGCTCATAGTCCACACAGTGGCACAATCTAGGGCAAAATGTCCAGAACGTCCAGCCTCTCTTCAGGCCCCCAGGCGGGGTTCTTCCAATTGGAATCTTTAATACAAGCCTCCAGAATGAAGCACAATCCATGCTATTGTGGGCTTGACCTTTAATACCTAACTCGCATTTTGTTTACATGGAAACTCCTACACTGAGCGTGTAAAGCTGCTGGTGTGTGAAATGCACTTATAATACCCTTTTTTATAAACTAAACTGATAAGATAATCTGTAGCATTTTAATATTTGATATGTTCTATTAAGTTTTCTAAGGGCATTTCAATGAAAAGTTTGTGTGCTTTTCAAAAAAACACTCACAGGCTAATATTAAATATAGTGAATGAAATATAGGATATTTAATTTTGACATAGATATATATAATATATATATATATATATATATATATATATATATATATATATATATATATATATATATATATATATATATATTAATACACAGTGGTGTGCAAAAAGTGTTTGCCCCCTTCCTGATTTCTTATTCTTTTGCATGTTTGTCACACTTAAATGTTTCAGATCACCAAACAAATTTAAATATTAGACAAAGATAACACAAGTAAACTCAAAATGCAGTTTATAAATGAAGCTCTTTATTATTAATGGGAAAAGACCTACAGGGCCTTGCGTGAAAAAGTGATTGCCCCCTAAACCTAACAACTGGTTGGGCCACCCTTAGCAGCAACAACTTCAATCAAGCGTTTGCGTTAACTGGCAATGAGTCTTTTACAGCACTGTGGAGGAATTTTGGCCACTCATCTTTGCAGAATTAATGTAATTCAGCCACATTGGAGGGTTTCCTTTTTAAGTTCATGCCACAGCATCTCAATCGGATTCAGGTCAGGACTTTGACTAGGCCACTCCAAAGTCTTAATTTTGTTTTTCAGCATTGTCCTGCTGCAGAAACCAAGTGTGCTTCAGCTTGAGGTCACGAACAGATGGCCAGACATTCTCCCTCAGGATTTTTTGGTAGACAGCAGAATTCATGGTTCCATTTGCCACAGCAAGTCTTCCAGGTCCTGAAGCAGCAAAACAGCCCCAGACCATCACACTACCACCACCATATTTTACTGCTGGTATGATGTTCCTTTTCTGAAATGCTGTGTTACTTCTACGCCAGATGTAATGGGACATACACCTTCCAAAAAGTTCAACTTTTGTCTCGTCAGTTCACAGAGTATTCTCCCAAAAGTCTTGGGGATCATCAAGATGTTTTCTGGCAAAACTGAGATGAGCCTTTATGTGCTTTTTGCTCAGCAGTAGTTTTTGTCTTGGAACTCTGCCATGCAGGGCATTTTTGCCCAGTCTCTTATGGTGGATTCATGAACACTGACCTTAACTGGGGCAAGTGAGGTCTGCAGTTCTTGGGATGTTGTTGTGGGGTCTTTTGTGACCTCTTGGATGAGTCATCGCTGCGCACTTCGGGTAATTTTGGTCGGCCGGCCACTCCTGGGAACGCTCACCACTGTTCCATGTTTTTACCATTTGTGGATAATGGCTCTCACTGTGGTTCGCTGGAGTCCCAAAGCTTTAGAAATGGCTTTATAACCTTTTCCAGACTGATAGATCTCAATTACTTTGTTTCTCATTTGTTCCTGAATTTCTTTGGATCGCAGCATGACGTCTAGCTTTTGAGGATCTTTTGGTCTACTTCACTTTGTCAGGCAGGTCCTATTTAAGTGATTTCTTGATTGAGAACAGGTGTGGCAGTAATCAGGCCTGGGTGCGGCTAGGGAAATTGAACTCAGCTTTCCAAAGATGTGATAAACCACAGTTAATTTAACTGCAATCACTTTTTCACACCGGGCCCTGTAGGTTTGGATTTCTTATTCCCTTAATAATAAAGACCTTCATTTATAAACTGCATTTTGTGTTTACTTGTGTGAAACATTTAAGTGTGATAAACACACACACACACACACACACACATATATATATATATATATATATATATATATATATATATACATATATATATATATATATATATATATTTATATATACCTGCCCTGTGGTGGGTCCTGTGGACTTACAAAGTGCAGCTATATGGTAAATGGAGCTGATACCATTATTATTTATATCATTACTTAGAATTTTATGCCCTTAATATGTAAACTTATGTAGTGAGATTAAAATAATATAAGATTAAGGACAGGTAATACATTAATGTATGTCATTATTCATAAAGGCCCTGCCATAATTTGGTGGTCAGAACTCACCCAGTTGATTTCACAAATTAATTCTATCTGCTAACTTGAGATAATTATCAAATCCAGGTGTTTGGAACAGAATCCTGAGCAGGATAATTTACTTTTAGAACTGGAAGTATCCCTCTTGGATTAGAAGTTATTGCAGTTACTCACAAGCTCCTGTAGGAGTCTCCCCTCCAAATCCGGGTCATTGAGGCTGTGGAAGAACTGCTGTGCGGGGGCGCTGGCCACGGCCCTCAGCTTAGCACTGTTGTGGCTACCCTGGGCCTGGTCTGACAAGCCGATAGTGAAGAGTTTGATGCCATGGTTCTTGGCCTCGGCTGCTGCTGCGATGATGTCAGGGCTCCGGGGATGGTCAGCACCGTCCGTCATCAGTAGGGCCACCCTCACGTTCTCCTCTTTAGTCTCCTTCACAAAGAGCTCAGTTACGTTCCCGATGGCGTAGGATGAGTATGTGCCCTGGCCGATGTAGGACATGGCCTCGATGCGGCTCAGGAAACTGTCCAGGCCCCGCCAATCAGCGAAGCTCTGGACAGCAGACACAGTGCTGCTATACTGCAGGGCAGCCAGCCGCGTCTGCAGGTACCAGCCGGCTACCTGCATCTGCGTGACCTGCCGGCTAAAGGAGCGCACAAAGTCCTTCTCCTGCTGAAAGCGGAAATTCAGGGCGCTTTCCGAACTGTCCAGGAGAAAGGCGATCTCCAGTGGACACACCAGCACTGGGGATAAAAAAAAGGGACAAATAAAATGTTTTGAAGAATTATGATTGAATTGATTTACCCAAAGTTTATTATTCATTTAATAAAGAGCTGTTATCATCCACGCAGTCCATAGATGGAAACTAAGTTGATAAAAATAAAAAAAATACTAATTAAAATAGTGGCATGTGCAAAAGTTTATATAGTTTATAAGTACATAGTACTTAGTAACACCCCTTTTGGGCTGTCTTGCATGCACAGCTTGCTGAAAATCTACCCAAACGTTTTTAATGATGTTCAAGTTGGGGGACTGTAAGGGCCATTCCAAAGGCTTCAGCTTGCATTTCTTGAAGTTGTTCATGGTGGATTTTGAGGTATGTTTTGGATCATTGTCCTGTTGTAGATGCCAGCCTCTTTTATGCTTGAGTTTCTTGACAGATTGTCACATTTGCATACAAAATTTGCTGATATTTAGTAATATCCACTCTTCCATGTTTCCTGTGACACTGGCTGCACCAAAAGAACCCCAAAACATAACAGTTGGCACAGTGTTCTTTTCATCAAATGCTGCTCTTTTTTCTCCAAACATATCTTTAGGGACTGTGTGATTTCTGCAGTTATCTGATTATTTAAATAGTCATGTAAATACCATACTCCGATCTAGAGCTGGATCTTAGCTAAGTAATCAGATTTCTCAGTGCATGTACTTTTACTCTGATTTCTTTCAGATTTCTCAGTCTGCGCATGCATGAAACAGACCTGGTACCGGAAATAACTGAGCAGCCTTACTGCAAGATGGCAGCAAAACACTTTTGGAGCGACGCTGAAACCAAATACATGCTTGACAAAATGGATGATTAAAATATTCTTCATCTTCTACATAATATATGATTATATTTTCAGGTAAAGTGACTAATGTTTTTTTTAAAAAAGGCTTGGCATGAAGTTTGAATTCTAAATTACATTTTCATGTCTTCTTCTGTGAGTTTATTGGCTGGTTACAAAGCAGAAATCCGATCCGTAAAGGCACTGATCGGACACAATCTGATTTTCTGCAGTTATTGGATTGTTAAGTGCATGTAAACACACTCAATGACTCAAAACAGACTATTTTTCACAGATTAGTTTCCATATATGAAATGTATGGACTGGGAAGTAAATTATGTATTTATACGCTGCACAAAACTCTTATTTAAACATTTGTAGCTGTCTCCTGTTCCTCTGCTTGAATAAAATGTACAAAAAATATTGGTCAAAAAAAAGAAGACGAAAAAAAAGAAGCCAGCAAAAGAAAGAACATGCGTAGGATGTGATTTGTGTAACAGATGCACAAACACAGGATCAAAAACATCCCATGTAAGAGAGCAAGGCTTTAAATCTGTGTATCAAACAAAACATGACCTCATTTACCCTGCCCGTTCCTTGTAGTTAGGTTGTTCTTGTTTTCCTGCTTTTTTCTCCGCTGGCCTCTGCCTGCGTGTGAAAGGATTAACAGTGCCAAGCACAGGAGCGTCGCTCTGGACGTGTTTGCCTTCATGTCTGCACTGAGGAAGATTAGGAGTGGACGAGAACTGACCTCCAGTCACTGTCCACATGTGCCTGAAACAAATTACAATTAAAATATTTGTTAATATATATGCTTAATTTCACTGCACAACTTTGAAACAGACAAAAAAAGGCTTAACGGCAGTCTATAATCAGAGAACCATGCACTGTTAAACTTCTTCACAGTCTAATGAATCTTTAGTAAATACTGTATAAGTAATGGAAAAAAGACACATTCATTGAAATTCACGTAACAAAGTGACATTAAGTGTTGGATTGTGACTACAAATATTCTCAGGCTTTTAACTTCAAAAATACAGCTATAATATCATGTAAGTTTAAGGAAAACTACTGACAAAAGTAATGCAAGGTCAATGAAGCTATCAGAAGCATTCCACAACTCCTGAGCCAGCTATTGATTTCAGCGCTTACCTTTCAGATCATGCAAATGTGTATTTCTCCCATCAATGCTCCTGGTACATGCTCACCCTGATTGCCTCCATCTAGCTGCTGCAGAGTCCATAAAACTCCCACCCACAGCCCACTGAGTGCAGTTTTTTTCCTCACCTTTTTTCCCCCGCCCGTATTTCAACCAAGCCCCGCCCTCCTGCTCTGGGATTGGCTCTTAGCAGGTCCAGATCATCCACTTATAGGCCACTGGGCACAAATGTTGAAGGGCTTCTACAAAGCTACTTTTTTGGGTGGTCAGAGGATGTTTTATGACATCACAGCAGGTTACACGAGGGTTGTGCATCACCACGATAGAGGTGTACTCACTGCGGTGCTGGCCACATCACAGTTTTTTTTTGAAAGACTGTTTTTGAATGTTTCAACCAAGCTAATCTGGGGCTTATGGTGCACAACACTAAAACCAGGTTAGTAAGGTATGTCAGTGGTTCTAGAAACGAATCACAGTGATAAAAACTAGCAGTGGGCAATATGACAAATATATAATATTGTGATCCTTCTAGAAATTTTCATAATACATGATATGTCACGATATTTATTCTTTCAGACACATGATCTGTTGGAACAGAGAAAAAAGATCTAACAGTGCTGCATTTTAAAAAGTACTACCAAAACCTGTGAACGCAATGTTTTATATTCAGTTTTTATCATAGTGTTGCACTAAATCCAGTTAAACAGGACAACGTTTGCTCTCTTTATAATAAACAGGCAGTTGGTCAGTGTTGTACGAGTACAGACAATATACACAATATTGTAACACCTTTAATGCTGGGTGGAGGAAGGATGCCGGGGGGAGGTGTGAAGACGGAGAACTTTTTATTATTATACACTCGGCTTTTCAGCCCACAGATAAATTAAGACAAGACGCTTGCTGGGACATTTCAGTCTTTTTTCTTTCTTTCTTGTTTAGTTCAGCTCAGCTCAGTTCAGTTCAGTTCAGTTCAGCTCAGTTTGGCTCTCACGCCTTCACTGGTCACTGTGCTCGGCCACCTCTTCTGGACTTCTGGATATAACTTCTGGACATAACTGTTCATAACAAAAATGAATGACAACACCTGCAATTTTTAAAACTGAAATCGCAGAGCATCCTAAGCTAAAGTGTACTGCCATAGCCGGCATGGAAAATGTTAAACAACCATTTATTTCTTACCTTTGATGACTTTATGTGTCAGAGTTGACTGTTCACAGATCACAGCCAACAACAACACAGCAACCTTATTCTTTAACAGGCTGATATTGTTTTTTTATTTGTGTTTGGCTTTAGAAATGGGCATCTTCTACTATGGCAGGGCTTTAAGTGTCACTTTTACAAAAAAAATTACATCTTTTTTTTATACGGATTATTCTAGTGAATAGCTTCAAAGTCAGACTTAAAAACACATGTTGGACTTTTGACTTGGACTTCAGACTATATATGTGTGTATATATATATATATATATATATATATATACATATTCACACACACACACACATGTATGTATATATATATACATGTATATATACATATATATATTTAGTAGTGAATATTGCTCCATATAGAATAAACATTTACATATATTGTGTGATCAGTGACATTTATAAAATGATGAATGTTTGTATAATGTAAATATTAAAGATCCTCTCACCTGTGGCTTCACTTCCACTTGTCAGACTCCCTCAAGTCCTTCTGTCAAAGGGACCACTGTGTACACTTACTGGCCACTTTATTAGAAACCCCTCCCTCCAGCTTGCTGATGTACAGTTAGAGACTCAAACCTATATATATATAAAAGAGCATGAAAAGGCGTGAAAGAGATCACAGGTTAGAGCTGAAGCCATGCAGAATGGAACATCACTCCTTCAGAAAGAGAGGAAGATGTGGAAAGAACTTAAGAGATTGGGCATCTTGCCTGGACTTTTATGGAGGCCGATATGTGTAAATCTACACTGAGAGTCACTGGCAGGGGGCTGAGGGACACTTTTAAGTAAAAATCCATTTGCAGCTGTTGTGCAGTTGTTGTGGTGATAACTGCTCAGAGATTGTTTGGATGATGATTATGTGGCCCCCAAAAGCCCAGTGTTTCCATGACTGTTTACCATTCAAATGACACCCACTGAAATCCATAAAACACAGTGAAGTGTTTCAAGCACCACTCAGCTGCCCTCAAAATTTAAAGGTTCTCTCTTAGGCTAACATGCTCCACATGACAACCATCATAGCGTTTTAAAAGGTGTGGCTCACACACGCGTTTCTTTCTCTGGATGTGTTTAATGAACAGAGATGAGTTTCTACCCGAGTGCCATTAGATGGCGATGCGTAGCCACTAAACTGGATACTGGATTTTAAAAATGTAATACAAAGATAATGATATAAAGAAATATATATATATATATATATAATCTTCGAATAACTATCTTCTGGGGATGAACATAAATAGCTTTTCCTGCAAATTTCAGTGCACAATTTCTGTCTCTGTGTTAAACATATTGGAGAAAAAATATCAAATGTGCCATACATTAAATTCAGCAAGTAAACAGTAATTGTGCATTAAAATGTGCACTAGTGTGTTCTCTGTGAAAGATGACTTTACATATTTTCACTTAGAACAAACAAAACATGTAATTTGACCAGGAGCGCCCAAACTTTTGCCTAGGACTGTATATCAGTTCCCATTAAAAAAATGCTTGTATGATTTTTAAAAATAATTTCTTAAAATAAAGTCAAATCACAACTTCATAATATTTGTCTAAGGCCAGTGATTATGATTACTAAGAAGTAATCATAATCACTGGCCTTAAGCTACTGCTTATTGCTACATCATTTCACATATCCCACTTTTCCATCACATCATTTCACATATCCCACTTTTCCATCACATCATTGATCATACAAAGAAGTTAGAATCGATTGATTATCCCTAATTGTGACTGAATGTTGCACTCCAGAAAGAGAGAGCCAAGACAGCATAGTGTAATTCATTATGGAATCAAATCAACCATTAATGTATTTACAACTCTACGTGTGTGCTTCTCACTTTTAAAGACATTCTTAATACTATATGGTAAAGACAGAATCTCTGTGTGTGTGTGTGTGTGTGTTTCTCCAGGCCACAGCCTCTGATGAAGCCCACTTGGCACCCACTAATACAATTTGTACCATACTCAGGGTCACCCAGGCACACAGAGCTGCACACACAGAGCATAATATGATTAATTATGATTAAAATCTATTATTATTATAAAAAAAAATATATATATTATAAAATCTATCATCTATTATTTTAATAAACCAAACAATCTTTCACATTATCACATTGAAAAACGTCCCTCAGTATATTTTAGGCATCGTAGTCTTGAGTGAAAGCCGCTGAGCTCGTTCAAACGCGCGACTTTTAATTTGAAACATTGCTTCCTTTACTCGCCTCTTTATTTTCCCGTCGGGGCGCGTAGCGTAAACATGGAGAAACTTCACTGCTGAGCCCGAATGTGGGAAGTGAGTTTGTTCAGCGCAAAGCGTCTTTACAGTTGGATATAGATGATAATAAAACACATATTACACGTTAGTTTTTTGGCTTTGAAACCGCGACCTGCTGCGAGCCGCTCCTGTGGGGTGTTATTCGTCCGAAATGACATGTAGGTACCGATGTAGCTTAGATAGCTAGCATTAGCTAGCCGGCTAACTAGCCAACAACTGACTGACTGTCAGCACAGTGAAGTGTAGCGGTCAACCGACAGCAGCAGAGGCTCTGATGTTACATGTAGTGTCTGTCTGAGGTGGTTTTTAGGCTTCAGTAAAGTTCAGTAGGCTTAAATAAAAATACCCCTGCTACCATAACTGGTTAGGTAGTGTATTGAATATGTTGGTTAGGTTATCCAGTAGCTAGCTCAGCTAGTTTACCCATAGTTACAACCAAAATAATAAGCATAAATTACCTCACTGGGTTCTGTAGTAACTCAGCTGGGTTACTAGACTAGAATAGGTTGTAGTTAGCTGTGTATAGGTTGTGTGCAACGAAGTCTGTCTGATTTGACTACATTTCTAAACTAAAATGCAATAGCCATAAAAACAAAGATGGAAAAGCACTTAAATTGGGTTTATTACTTGTAACTACGTCAGATAAACATTTGCAGTGAGCAGTTGTTGTAATGATGAGCAGTTCTAAGCCAGATAACTTGAAACCTGAATAGTCAGCGATGCTGAATGAAAAATGAAAGCACACTGAAATTGGACCTATTTCTTCGAAGCACGCCAGATAGACATTTGCAGCGAACTGCTGTTGTAATGATGGGCAGTTCTAAGCCTGATATCCTGTGGTCTCCACATCATGCGGATCGCTATGTGATCTGCGACTCGGAGCTTAGTCTGTATAGAATTGGAGCTGTTGGGACTTCGGAGGCCAAAGCTGGAGCCCTGCTGCTGTCTGAGGAGACTGCGGCCACTTTGCTGGCTATTAACTCCGACACCCCTTACATGAAGTGCGTGGCCTGGTACCCGAAGCATGAGCCGGAGTGTTTGCTGGCTGTAGGTCAGGCCAATGGCAGAGTGGTGCTCACCAGCCTTGGCCAGAGCCACAACTCTAAATGCAAGGAGCTGGTGGGTAAGGAGTTTGTGCCGAAGCACGCACGGCAGTGCAACACTTTGGCGTGGAACCCTGTGGACAGCAACTGGCTGGCTGCTGGTCTGGATAAGCATCGGGCCGACTTCTCGGTCCTGATCTGGGACATCAGCAGTAAATATTCTCCTGAGGCTGTACCAGCTGAGAAACTCCGTCTGTCTGGTGATGCTGACTCCGGTATGGTGGTTACGAAGCCACTTTATGAGCTGGGTCAGAATGACGCTTGCCTGTCCCTCTGCTGGCTGCCCCGCGACCACCAGAAGCTGCTGCTGGCGGGCATGCATCGCAACCTAGCCATCTTTGACCTGCGCAACACTAGCCAGAAGACCTTTGTCAACACCAAGGTATTAATATTTTCTTTGGTTATCAATGAGCAAAATTATCTGAGGTTCTGGCGGTGCTTCAAGATAGAAATGAAATACCATATTGCAGTTTTACTGCTGCATATTGCTATTTGATGTATGTTGCA